GGGAGCTGGGGGCAGTGATGATGTGCCAGTCCCATCCCTCTTGCCAGGGGCCATCAGGTGCAGGAAGGACGGATGCTTGGCACACCCACACGTGACTGCAAGCGCAGGGCGCCCTCTGCAGGGCTGTAGAGGATGTGCACCCAGGCTCCAAAACCCCAGCTCAACGCATGTTGAGGACCCCTGCCCCATGTGAAGCGCTTGGGAGATGCGAAGCGCTGCGGGCTCTTTGGAATTTACGAATAAGTGCATATGCATGATGAGCTATCTTGGGGGTGAGATCCGAGTCTAAAATGTGAAATCCATTTATGCTTCAGAGAGAGATGCCTCGTACACAGAGCCTGAAGGCAATTTCCTACAATGTGCTAAATAATTCTATGCATGCTGTGCTGGTTTCTACTTGTGGCATCAGCTCGATGCATAAAGCATTTTGGGTTTGGGGGCAGTGAGCATGGCTGATGGGTTGCCTGCCACCTTCAGGAAGCAGAAGACAACGGGTACCTGACACCCTTGTGGGAGACACAGTTGGAGTTCCCGACTCCCGGCTTCAGCTCTGGGGAGTGAACTGGTGGTAGGCAGATCAGCCAGTGGGGGCCCCTCTCTTGGTCTCTTCCTGTCATTCTGGCTTTCAAATGAATTAACAAATTTTTGTTTTAAACCAGATTTCTTTTTATTTGAGAGGCAAATTTAGAGAGAGATTTTCCATCTGCTGGTTCATTCCCTAAATGGCCACAATGACCAGAGCTGAGCTGAGCTGAACCAGGAGCCAGGAACTTCTGCCGCCACCCCCCTCCAACTCCCGTGTGCAATGCTCCATTTGTAAGGGTCCAGCCTGGGCCCACCCCAGTGCCAAGACTCTGCTTCCGTCTATGTCACAATTATCCCCAAGATCCCTTGGAAAATGTGAAATTGAAAGAAAAAAAAAGTAAGTCAAACAGGCTTAGAGTGTAAATAAGAAAGACTGAAGCACTGGGATGCTCTGACAAACTTTTCAGGAACAAAAAGCAGCCAGCCATGATGACGCCGTCTCTCGGTTCACACGGGAGGGCTGAGCCACGTGTGAGAATGGCGAGTAGCCCACGGCCCGCTGCGTCGGGGGGTGCGGGAGTGAAGGTCAGGTTGGAGAGCCTGCACGCTGCCTGGGACTGACCTCTGACCCGCCCAGTATGGGTCAGCAGAGAAAGCCCGTGGGCAGTTGGGAGGGGCACTTCTATGGAAAGTTGAACGTTTCTTAAGAAGGAGCCAGGGCTGTGGCGCAGTGGGTTAAACTGTGGTTCGTGACCGGCAGCCGGTATTGGAGTGGTGGTTTAAGCCCCAGCTGCTCTGCTTCTGGGATGGCGGCCAGTGGTGTGGCTCAATAACTGAGTGCTGTCACCAGTGTGGAAGCCCTGGTTGAAACTCCTGTGTTGGCTGAGACCTGGCTGCTGCATCATTTGAGGAGGATGAAGATTACTATGCCTTTCACATATATCACACACATACTCTTCAAAAAGAATCATGGGGACCACTTCGGTGATATAGTAGGCTAGTCTTCCACCTGTGACGCTGGCATTCAAGTTCCAACTGTTCCACTCACTTCCTTCTGGTTCCCGGCTGCTCCTTGCAGCAAAGGATGGTCCAAGTCCTTCGGCCCCTGCATCCACAGAGGTGACCTAGATGACACTGCTGGCTCCCAGCTTTGGACCAGCCCAGTTCTGGCCATTGCAACCATTTGAGGAGTGGACAGCAGATGGAAGATCTGTCTCTCTCACTCCGTTAACTGTGAGTTTTAAGTAAAGTAAGTCATTAAGAATCATGAGTTGCAGGCAAGATCTACTTAACATGCCAGAAACCCATCCAAGAAAACCCAAACAAAGCAGTCATTAGCATTACATTTTAATGAGACATTAACTTTTCAAACTAAATTACCTCTTAATCAATATCTACATCCATAATCATTTCACTGCTGATTATAGAATCAAGGCCCATGGTATTACATTTATTCCCCCTACACGGCTAGAATTGGATCCAATTTACTCAAGGCTTTCATCTTAAGAGGATCAAAAGGAACAGAACCGAACACTTAGGCTGCGCCGTCAAGACTGCCTTTTTAGATTTTCATTCAGAAGGCAGAAAGATGCCAAGAGACGGACAGAGCTGCCACCTGCTGGTCCACTTCCCAGTGCGTACAGTGGCTGGGGTGGGGCGGGGATGCAGAGGGGACTGGGAATTTAATTCTGGTCTCTGACACGGATGAAAGCGAACTGAGGACCTAAGCTATTGTGGCCACCTCTCAGGAGGCTGGATTCAATGTGGGGGGAACCAGGTCTCGAACCCAAGTCCCAAGTCCCGAGGCACAGGATGTAAGCTTTCCAGCTGGTGTCCTAAGTCTTGGGTCAAACAACAGTTTCCAAACTTCCCTTTCTAACGGACGGAGCTCTGTTCTGGGGCCATCCCCTGCTCTCACCGACGGACGTTCACATGGTAACTCCAGCTTTCTTTTAGGAATGGCTAAATCATTTTTCACAGCAGCCATACCATTTTTCATTTCCACCAATTGTGCACAAGAGCTGTTTCCTCCACATTTGTTTTTATGTAGTGTAGCTGAAGGGGGAATTACAGGCAGACAATCTTGCACCTGCTGATTCACTCTGCAGATGGCGGGGCCAGGCCAATGTCAGGAGCCTCAGCTGCAGTCAGGCCTCCCACATGGGTAGCAAGGGCCCAAGCACCCAGGTCATCCTCTGCTGCCTGGTCAAGGCACAGCAACAGGGAGCTAGACCAGAAGTGCAGCCACCTGGGACTTGAACCTGCATCTCACAGGGATGCCGGTATCATAAGCAGTGGCTTAATCCACCGGCACCCTGCAAGGCCGGCCCTTCTACAACTTTGCCAATGCTTAGCTTATGTGTTTGCTTTTTGATATACATTTTTTAAAAATTTTATTTTCATTTCAAGTCAAATATATAGAGAGGAAGAGAGACAGAGAGGAAGATCTTCCGTTCAATGATTCACTCCCCAAGTGACTGCAATGGCTGGTGCTGAGCTGATCCGAAGCCAGGAGCTTCTTCCAGGTCTCCCAGGCGGGAACAGGGTCCCAAGCAAGGCATTGGGCCATCCTCCACTGCTTTCCCAGGCCACAAGCAGTGGAGCCACTGGGATTAGAACCAGCGCTCATACGGGATCCCGGTGCTTGTTAGGATTTAGTCATTGAAGTATAGCACTGGGCCCTATGTGTGTGTGTTTATAGATGCTATCCTAATGGATGTCGGGATCCAAAAATACTGCAACTGTTCACTGGCACTTACTTGTACCCTGGGAACTTACAAGCTCCAAAGGGATCTACTGTCTGAAGGCCCATAAAGCAACTAAGCCGAACTCGCAGAGGCACAGATGGGGTGTGCCTGTCTGATAAAGGCTGCTCAAGGTCCAAGGTCCATCCCAAAGCAAACACCAGATCCCTGCCAACAGGGTGCACCTTCCCATTAGGCCATACCCATACACACACAATCAGCCCAAGGCTGCTATGGCTTCATTCATTTCATGGGCGGCCTGAGTGATGTGGGGGGAGGGAGGGAGCTATCTTCCATCTGCTGGTTCACTCCCCACATGCCCACAGCAGGAAGTCCAAATCCAGGAAACCCTGGTTTGCCACACAGGTGCAGGAAGCCTGAGCCCTGATCCCTCTCACACTGGCATCCCCCAAGGCCTACCCCCTACTCCCTCTCACACAGGCATGCCCCAAACCTTGCCCCCAACCCCACTCCCTCTCACACAGGCCCAGATCTGCGTCCTGAGCTAAAGCCTGTACTCAGAGGTAGAAAGATAAAAATCAGACAACACAAGCAATTAAAATTAAACTCTTTATTTCATTGTTATATTTCATTGCTTACTCAGTGGTGGGAATTGAAAAGGTGTCCTTCCAGTTATCTAAAGAGTCCAATCAGACTGACATGAAACAACCCTGCCCCACCCAAAAAGGAATGAAAGCAAGACCCAAATAAACCAAACGTTGCATACAGATCTTAGCGTGACAAATCCAGCATAGAGCCAAGGGTGCAGTCCAGGGCAGTTGGGGGTGTGACACGCTATGGACTTCCTGGGAGTAAGACACCCATGGCACGGCACAGCCACCCAACTTCTGCAGCCAAGGCCCAGGAGAATGGGGGCTGGGAGGCAGGACTCCTGTCTTACCTATGGGTAAGCTCTGGGTGTCAGGAAGCCTGCTAAGATGGTCCCATCAGGCAGCCTCCAGGGACCTGCATGCTGCAGCAACACGGGTGACAGAAAGGCCAGTGCACTGTGGAGCTGCAGGGTCACTGGCTGGGACTTCGGCCTTGCTCGGTGTCCCTGATGAAGACAGCTGTCGTGCTGAGCTGCCCTGAGGATCCGCCACGTGACAGGGACACAGGCTGAGCTTCAACAGCAGCCCCCTAAACAGCCTGTGAATAAGGTGGTGTGGGGAGGAGGGCTGACTGCTGGCAGCATCCTGCAGTGCAGGTCTTCCCCACCGAGGCAGCTAGCACCTCAGCTGGGTGGTCAGAGAGCTCATCCACAGCCACGTTCCTGACCCATGGACCTGTCAACTAAGAGAGGGGTGCTGATGCAAGCAGTAAAATCTTAGGGGTAATTCATTACACTGTGTTAGGAAACCAAAATACCTGCATGAAAACTGCTGTGCCTAAAGGGACTGGAAGTTGTCTGAAATAACCTACCAGCTCCTTACCAGAGCCAACTAAGCCGTTGGAGGTTATCTTAACTTGAAGAAAGAAAACTGGGGCTGGTGCTGTAGCACAGCAAGCTAAGCCACAGCCTGTGTGCCAGCATTCCACATGGGTGCCAGTTTGTGTCTGGGCTGCTCCACTTCCCACCCAGCTCTCTGCTAATGTGCCTGGGAGAGCAGTGGAAGACAGCCCAATACTTGGTCACTGCACACAAGGGGGAGACCCGAAGGAAGAAGTTTGCTCCTGGCTCCTACAGTCATTTAGGGAGTGAACCAACAGATGGAAGATCTTTCTGTCTCTCCATCTCTCTGGCTTGGCTTGCAAATAAATAAATCTTAAAAAAAAAAGAAAAGAAAATCAACACCTTCCCACTGGGGAAAGGAGAGCTCGGCATGCCAGTCTAGTCTCTAGCTCACTGCACTCAACCACAAACACCGGGACCCCACTTCCCCAGACTCACCACAGTCACTCACAAACAGCAGGACCCCACTTCCCTGGACTCACCAGTCACCCACAAACAGCGGGACTCCACTTCCCGAACTCACCACAGTCACCCACAAACACTGGGACCCCACTTCCCCAGACTCACAGTTCGTCAAATCTGCAAGTCAACTATACAATTCCCAAATTTATAGCAGATCTGAAAAAATACAAAATCACAGCAGGCAGGTCCTCCTTGCTCTCCGGGCACTCCCCATGTGCGCAGCCTCATCTCACCGGGGCACAGGCAGAGCCCCAAGGCCTGCCCCCTGAGAAGAGGCCTTCTTGGGCATCACACGCTCCAGTCAGCTAACAGTGGAGGCAAGCCAACCTTGTCAATAACCAAAGAGAACCGAGCCCGTGGAGTATCTTCTGAAGATCAGGTTCCATGGGAGCATCTGCACTTAGTCATTTATTGGAAGGTCATTCCCTGAGAGTCCCCTGGAGTGCCCAGGCTGCCCTGCAGGCGAGCAGGAACCCCCTGCCAGCAGCCGTCCTGGCTCCCACTGACAGGACAAGGAGGAGCCACATGTGCGGCCTATACCACGACTGTAGGAACGTGGAACAGCTGAACTGAAAGCCAGTATCTCAGAACAATCATTGGGAAAGCAAGCATCCCTTATTCAATTCGTTCGAAATAGCAATATCTGTAAACTTGACAACACCTCTGGCAGGCTGAACAGTCTAATTACTGGATTTTCCAGACGAGAGGCGGCTTCCCCACCAAACACCGCGGCCAGCTGGCATGAGTGAGGACACCGTCTCCACTGGGCAGCAGCTGCTCAGATGCTGCGGTAGTCAGAGCCGCGGGCCACGATGGCGGCAGCGTCCCACTCCACGGTGAAGAACGCGAGAGTCCCGAAGAACCCGAACGTCACCATGACCAGCAGCTGCCAGTGCAGGAGCAGGTAATTGCTGTAGAAGAACGCCACAGCTGCGCAGATGGACTGGGGGCAAACAGAGCACGTCACAGGCGCACTGGGTGGGGCGGCCTGTCCCGGGCATCGGGCACTGCCGACCCACGGGCCAGCCACCATCTCTGCAGTGGAAAGCAGGGCACTGAGGGCACCCCAGGAGGACGGCACATGAGTGCAGAGTTCTGCTCCCCATAGGAGCAGCAGTCTGCTCTGAGCTGCTGAGACCGACTCGAGTGAGCGCAGGTCATGCCGCTCAGAAATCCTCGTAAGGGGTTCCTACAACGCCGGAGACCACAGGGGAAGGCAAGGCACGAGGCACGAGGGCCCTGGCTTTGTTACCTGCACAAACTTGAAGATGGCGAAGGCGGGCGCGCTGTCCTCCGCGTACAGGAAGCCCAGGATGCTGAGCAGCTGGGTGTTGAAGCAGCTGTCGCCGAGACCCAGTAGGAAACTGCAGAGGATGGCCACCTCCTTGCTGTGGGACATGAGTGTGCGTGAGTGTGGGCACGAGTGGAGACTGCCAGGGCCCAGGCAATCCACCCACGAGGCTGCAGAACTTGTACGGAATTTACCAAGAAAGCATTCATGCTCACACACACATCACCCTGGCCCATGAACACCACCGGGAGCAAAGACTATTTGGGGGCCGGGTTCCCACTGGGTGTGGAAATCCAGATGCAAGTGTCTGTATCTGTAACAAAGTTCAAGTTCAGGGCAATCATGGGTTGTCCTGAGACTTCCCACAGACCGTGCACAAGGCCTGAGTGTGCTGCAGGCCCTAACTGCAGCATTTCACTGCTCATTGAGCAGACACAGAAAATCCAATCACACACACCCCACGCACCCTCACACATTACCAAGAAAGTTCCAGCTGATCTCAACGAAAGCACCTCGGCATTGCCGGCGTCCTCTGCCTGCCTCCGCTAACTGGCGACAGACAGGCAGCCCCTCTACAGTGAGGACACACTGCTCCATGCAAATGGCCACCGCGTCCCAGAAAGAGGGTGGCCCGCGCACCTGGGCTTGATGTAAGCGCTGCTGTTGGTTCCCTCCACGGGGGCGATGGGGGCGTCCGCCGGCATGTTAAGAAATATGAGGTAAAAAGCGACAAAGTGCACCAGGACGCCCAACAGCACCACTGGGTTCCGTCCGAAACGGCTGTTCTTGCTCAGCAGGCCGAAGAGGCTCCCGCCTGGAAGGAGACGGCAGGTGTCAGTAACAGGCCACACCTGGCGGGAGCAGCGATCCAGGGCGCGCGTCCTTCCCAAGGCCACCACTCTTGCACTCATGGACAATGATGACCGAAGCCAACTGTTATAAGAACAAGGAATCAAAAGTACTGTCCAAATCATTTTTGTCCAGATACATTTTTCTATTATTTCTCTATGGATTGCTCTATCCCCAGTACTATTCCTTTTAAATGGTTGCTTAAGGAGAAAATGAAATGAAAAGGATGCAACACAGTGACCGTGAGCAGGCCCTCACAGAGGAAAGAGCTGAGGCAGCAGACCACAAGGACCCCGTGGACGCTCGGGACTGAGGCAGGCTGCAGGGTGCTGCCAAGTGCTCAGGAAGGCTCACCACGCAGCGTGAGCTCACACGAGTCAGGAGCAGAGGATGACCTGGCCACCCGCACGGAACAACGGGCACCACCCGCCCGGGACAACGGGCACCACCCGTACACTGCCTTGAGGCCGAGCCAGGCATTCGGTGCAGTAACTGAGCCCCGACCAGTCTGCCCACGGCCCATGCTGGAGGGCCTGGCGGTGCCACCCTGATTTGGCCTCCTGCTGAGGGGTACTCTGGGGGGTGGCAGGCTCAGGGACTCAGCTCCCGGTGGGAGCCTTGGGCTGAGCTCCAGGTTCCTTCTGGCCATGGTCAGCTCTGACTCAAGTAAACCAACAGAGGAAAGATCCATCTCTCTGCCTTTCAAATAAAATGAAAAGTAATAAGTAATTCTTACAGTGAAGATTAACAATCAAGAAAATAAAAATCCCACCTAGAAAACAGGGAAAAAAACAGGACACACACTTTACCCAAGAACACATGCAGAAGGTAAACATGAAAAGACAGCCCGCTTCACCAGGGACACGCAAACCAAAACCGCAATGGATTACCAGTGCACACCCACTGGGAGACCAACATGAAAGACTGACAGTGTGGGTTGGTGTTGTGATACAGCACTCTAAGCTGCTGCCTGCGATGCCCACATCCCTTGTGGGCAGTGCTTTGAGTCCAAGATGCTCCACTTCCGATCCAGCTCCCTGCTGTACCCATGTGGGTGACTCGGGTGAAGTTGCCTGAGCCAGCCCTGACTGCTGCAGCTGTTCGGGGAGGTGACTCAGAGGACAAAAGATGCCAGTGACAGCTCAGACACACTCATACACAACTAGTTCAACACTTCTGGAAAAGGGGCGATATTGGCAGAAGACACTCAACAACCAAATGCAGTGTGACCAGAGTGAAACCTGTGCTGGCAGAGGGAGAAGAGCTCTAAAGGACAGTGTCTCGAGGCAGGCCGTTCCATCGACGTGCCGTCCTGCTGATGGCTGCGTTGCAAGCATGCGCGAGGGGGCCCCCCTCACCCACACACAGTTCTGACACTGAGCCCCCCACCAGGGCCTAGCAGCGACACCAGATGATACCAGGCCCTGACGCCCCAAGCCTCCCAGAACCCCTGCTTAGCTAAAGGCTCCTATGCTTTGTTGGTGGCACGTCAGGCACTCAAGCAGTCACTTCAAGAAGGGAGTGGTACCCGGGGGTTCAGTAGTCATCAGATGGGGAGCGCCTCTGTCTCCTTTCTAGACAACACCTTGATCATTGGTCCTGTGTGCAGAGCTAGTTTTCTTTATTTTTTTCCCCAGAAAGCGCAGGCCCTGAGCAAAAACCAGCACCTGCAGAGCCCTCAGATGACCAGACACCCTGCCCAAAGGACACCATGGCCGTCTTCCACTATCCAGGCCAGACCAGGAGGAACCTCCTCAGGAGCTGACCAGGCACCTCCAGCGCCACCTTTCTCCCTGGGAGAAAGCCACAGCTGCCCTTCTCCCTTGCTGTTTCCACACACCTGCTTTCTTTGACCAGCACAACGTCAGTGAGCAGTCTGCTGCACACTGGCTGGAGGTCCGAGTATTGAGGAGCGAGGTGGGAGCCACGATATTGTGTAACTTACCCTTACAGGGTTTAGAAATAAAATCAGGGGACTTCAAAAAGTCCTGGGGGGGGGGGGTAGGGCAGGCATTTGGCACAGTGATTAACAAAAGTGCCTGGGACAACATTCTCATCTTGGACAGCCTAAATTTGAGTCCCAGGTCTGCTTCCTCTGAACAAAAAACCCAAAACCCAAAACCCCAAAAAACATTAGGGGCCTGTGCTGTAGCCTCAAACATAAAGCTGCCACCTGTGTTGTCGGCACCCCACTTGGCACTTGTTCATGTCCCGGCTGCTCCACTTCTGACCCAGCTCCCTGCTAAGTCCTCGGGCTGCGATGCCACAGGGGAGAGCCGGGAGTAAACCAGTGGACGGCAGAGCTCTCCTTCTCGCTCTGCTCTTCAAATAGATAAATCAGTCTTAAAACAGCAAAATAAATACATTAAACATCCATGGGGATGACAGTTGTGTGTTTTTAAGAGATTTATTCATTTATTTGCAAGTAAGAGCTACACAGATTTTCCATGCGTAGGTTCCCCCTCCAGATGGCAGCAACAATCAGGCAGGGGCCAAGTGAAGCCAGGGGCCCTGGCACCCTCACTGCCTCTCAGGCATTAGCAGGACTTGAACTGGCACCCATATGGGATGCTGGTGTTGTGGGTGGCAGCTCGACCAGCTACCAGGTCTGCTGGGCAACAGCAGGTGGCTCATGGAGTCGGCTCCCTGCCACCGTGGGAAACTCAGACTGAGCTCCTGGCTCCTGGCCTCAGCCTGGCCCAAGTCCGCTTGCTGCAGGGATGTGGGAATGGAAAAATCTGCATGTGAGTCTTTGCTTTTCAAACTCGTTGAAGTTCATGAAAAATGAAATTGGCAAACAATTTTTTGCATGAAACTTTTGAAATCATGCAGCTTTTTCATAATATGAACTTTCCATTAACTTTTTGAGGACACCTTCTATATGAAAGAGTAAGACAAAGACAACATTGAAAAACAAGGGAAACGCTGACAGCAACTAAATATTGTTAAAAGATATTCAGGTGTTTTTCTGTCTTGGCAACTCCTTGTAAATTCGCTGAAAACAAACAAGGAAACCCACTCTGCAGCTGCCTGTGCTAAGAGTGGGTTTCTATCGGCAGAGCCTGCAGGCCCGTAGCAGGGAGACCCGTCTGCCTAACTTACACACTGGTGATTCCCTGTCCTCGCCTGGTCCCTCCGGACTCCCCACCCTGTATCTCCACTGCCTGGGATTTCAACATCTCATCTCAGATCCTGCCCCTGCTGCAGCTCTCATCTGCCTGGTTTATTCAGACTCCTCACCAATCAGGGACCAAGTTCTGCTGGGCCTACATTCTGGACACTCCCTCGGCACACAGAGTCATTTACGGAACCCTGAAATAGACAACTGTTTTGGGGCTGGGCCTGAAGCCCAAATCAACAACCAGTCGGCTTCCCCTAGTGCTCAGCAGCATGACGCCACACCTCGAATGACAGCAAGCCTCACCAGAGGCCGAGCCCCATGTTCAACACAGAATGAAACCACCAAAAACCCCTCCCAAGGTCGGGGAGCCCCACACGGGGAGGTGGTGCGTGCCCTGCCATGGAGACAGACTCCAGCCTGTGAGACCCTATCCAAGTTGGTCCCATGCATCTATTCACCTGCCAACTTACCCAGGTCTGCCAACTGCTCTGAAGTGAGGGCTGTGTGTGGGCTGTGCCTTCGCAGAGAGGGGCATGAAGCAAGCTCTCGGGCCACTGCCCTCACCTAGCCCCTGTGTGAGCTTCCAGCAGACCAGCCTCAACATCACAGTGGAGTCTCACGCTGAGGCTCCCCCCACCAATAAGAAGCTAAGTTGTTCTGGAACATTCTGAGAAGTTAGGACAGAGCAGCCAGACAACTCGGAGGCTGGTGTCTGCCAGCACGACACTGACTTTCCCTCTGCCTAATCCTGACAGCTTATTTTAAAAAGATTTTATTCTTTATTGAAAAGGCAGAGAGAATGAGATACAGAGAGAAAGATCTGTCTGCTGGTTCACTTCCCAAGTGACCACAATAGCCAGAGCTGTGCCGATCCAAAGCCATGAGCCTCCTCCATGTCTCCCACGTGGGTGCAGGGTCCCAAGGTTTTGGGTTGTCCTTGACTGCTTTCCCAGGCCACAAGTGGGGAGCTGAATCGGAAGTGGAGCAGCTGGGACACAAACAGGATCCCGGCAGACACAAGGCGAGGATTTAGCCACTAGGCTATCATGCTGGGCCCAATCCTGGCAGCTTAATTACTAAGAATAGCCTGAGCTAAGCTGTTATCCAAGCAACTAGCTCTGTCATTGTGTCTCCCATCTTAAAGGAAAGTACCTTCCAAACAACCCAAGGCTTTCTGCTCAGCCTGTCTCAGCCCTAGGTGAGGGAACAAGGCACTGCCGGATGACACTCACGGACTCCAGGCAGCCGAGACCTCCCGGTTCCAACTCTGTCCTCCGCTGCTATCAGAGAATGAAGACAGCAGAAGCCAGGCCAAGTCCCCAAGACCCTCTCTCCAGGACTTGAGGAAGAGAGGTGGGACACTACGCGTTTACTTCTTTATGGTTTACATCCAGGAATTATTTAACAAGTGTTTTACAATGTAAGATTTTTAGGACAGTGATAGTAAAAAAATAAAACACCTTGTTTGGGTAAAAGTAAACAAGAAAAACAAAAATTCCAGGACAAAGAGAGGAAAAGTACATTTAAAGTTTTTTATTTTAACTACAACAAACTGGACTCTAATGCAAAGATATTTTTCTGAACTCACCTAAAATTTCTCCAATTCCGATGAAAATGCCAGAAAGTCCAATGAGGCTTTTCTCTTCTGTTCCAAACTCATTTACGGCCCCGATGCAGGTCCCGTACACGCCGGAGAAGAAGGTCAGCTCCAGACCTGGGGAAACAGGCAGCTCCTGATCACAGAGCCTCCCACTGCTGTGACTCCTCCACAGACACGCGGCACTCCTGCTCTGAGTCCCCCACAGACACGCAGCACTCCTGCTGTGACTCCTCCACAGACACGCAGCACTCCTCCTGTTGTGACTCCTCCACAGACACGCAGTCCTCCCGCTGCTGTGACTCCTCCACAGACACGCGGCACTCCTGCTGTGACTCCTCCACAGACACGCAGTCCTCCCGCTGCTGTGAGTCCCCCACAGACACGCGGCACTCCTCCTGCTGTGAGTCCTCCACAGACACGCAGTCCTCCCACTGCTGTGAGTCCCCCACAGACACGCGGCACTCCTGCTGTGAGTCCTCCACAGACACTCAGCACTCCTGCTGTGACTCCTCCACAGACACGCAGCACTCCTCCTGCTGTGAGTCCTCCACAGACACGCAGCACTCCTCCTGCTGTGAGTCCTCCACAGACACGCGGCACTCCTGCTGTGACTCCTCCACAGACACGCAGCACTCCTGCTCTGAGTCCCCCACAGACACGCAGCACTCCTGCTGTGACTCCTCCACAGACACGCGGCATGCCTCCTCCTGCTGTGATTCCTCCACAGACACACAGCACTCCTCCCATTGTGTCTCCTCCACAGACATCCAGATGCAAACAGCACCCCAAGCAGAGCAGACAAAATTCCTCGTGGCTAGTGACACCTCCACAGACATGCAGAACATGCCTCCAAGCAGAGCAGACCAATTCTACAGAAGGGGACTTAAAACGGTTCCTGAACAGGCCCGGCGTGATAGAGTAGTGGTTAAAGTCCTTGCCTTGCACACCAAGGATCCCATATGGGCGCCGGTTCTAATCCTGGTGGCCCCGCTTCCCATCCAGCTCCCTGCTTGTGGCCTGGGAAAGCAGTCAACAATGGCCCAAAGCTTTGGGACCCTGCACCTGCGTGGGAGACCAAGAAACTCCTGGCTCCTGGCTTCGGATTGGCTCAGTTCCAGCCATCCCAGTCACTTGGGGAGTGAAGCATAGGACGGAAGATCTTCTGTCTCTCCTCCTCTATGTATATCTGCCTTCCCAAAGCGTTCCTGAAGAAACAGGAGTGAGAGAATCTAAACCGTCCAAGAAATGTCTGAAGTTCCTGTGTCAACACATGAAATGGAGTTAACCCCTCAGTTCTATATGAAGCCCCCACTCCCAGGACAGTTTGAAGGTCACTGGGCCACAAGGGCAGAACCCTCCAGACGGGATCAGTGGCTTTGTAGTAGAGAGGACACTGACTTGGGAGCCAGAAAGAAGCGTGCAAGTGACACGACCACGACTCCCAGCCTAACTTGTCAGAGCAGCTCCAGCCAAGGTGCTGCAGGGTGGCGCATGCTGCACCTAAGGGCGCCTGGGGCAGCGGAGGCACGGCCTGGCGCACCTGCATCCTGCTCCCAGCACTGAGTCCCTGCTTCACTCCTGATCCTAAGGCACAGCCTTGGGGGCAGCAGAGGACAGTCTGTGTTCAGGAATCCCTGCCGCCAGGGCCTGGTTCTGCCCTGCCTGTTGCAGGCATCTAAAGACTGAATTAGTACATGGGACACATCTGCTTTTTAAATTAAAAACAATCAAACGAACAAAACGCTGGGCCTGGTGCTATGACTCAGTGGCTAAGGTCCTCACTTTGCATGTGCTGGGATCCCATGTGAGTGCCAGTTTGTGACAAGGAGCCACAATGGCCAGAGCTGAGTCAATCTGAAGTCAAAAGCCAGGAGCCTGGATTACTTGCAGCTCTCCCACACAGGTGCAGGGTCCCAAGGCTTTGGGCCGGCCTCGACTGCTTTCCCAGGCCACAAGCAGGGAGCTGGATGGGAAGCAGGGCTGCCGGGATTGGAACCAGCGCCCACATGGGATCCCAGCGCGTGCAAGGAGAGGACTTTACTCGCTAGGTTACTGCGCCAGGCCCAGAAATTGAGTTTTGTAGTACATGCATACAAGCACTTCCCTAACTCGGACAGACCCCGAGGTTCCAGCCTGTCTGTCACTCTGCAAGGAGACAGAGGGTGGCTTTGTCGTCATTCGTGACCCTTGTGATTGGCATTCCTAGTCCTACTGCAAAACAGCACATACTACCACTGTTGCTTGAAGGCACAATGTTTTAATCAACCCTTTTTCCTAGGAAAAGGAAATTCCTAAGACCACAGTAAAATAACTAGGGTGCGTTACAGAGGGCCTTTCTGAGTTAATAGTACAAAATCTTAACTCTGAGTTTCACAGATGCTCAACATCTACTTTTTTTTTGTTTTTTGCAAAGCCTGTGTACCAGTGAGGTACACAGTGACACGGCACAGTGCCCTAGTAACAGTCCTCTCCATCCCGAGGACTGGGCAATTCGCCACCTCTCCTCACAGGACAGGGTGTGCCCATTTCACTGTCAGTTATCCACAAACACTCCAGGACTAATTCAGTCGTTTTCTGTAGCCTTGGAAGCCACGGTCCCCAGGAGCCATGCGTCCTGGCTTTCCTGTTGTCAGGAAGACTCCTCCCACGGTGCGCTTGAGCTGGCTCATGCCAGCTGTCCCCAAGAACGTGGGCCGGCCCCAGGCCTCACGAAGGTCTGGACATTCTACTGCTACCTCTTCTCGGAGCCTTTGGCCACAAGCACCCTGCCAGCTGAGCAACAAGGAGACCTCTTAGAGCAGCCACTGGTTGAGCCGAGGCCCCGTGGCCACATCAACAGTGACAGTGAGCTGGAGGGAGACCCGGCTCCCCAGGCGATCCCATCAACACACCTGATGTGTGACAGGTAGGAAGTTTCAGCTTCATGACCTTCCTCTGGTCTTTTTTTTTTTTTTTAAATTTTTTTACTTACTGAGGTTACAGAAAGAGGGAGAAACAGACACACAGAGAGATCTCTCGTCTGCTGGTTCACTTCCCAAACAGCCACAATGGCAGGGCTGGGCCAGGCAGACACCAGGCACCAAAACCACAACCTGGGTCTCCCACGTGGGTGAAGTGACTTAGCCCCGAGCCACGTCCCACTGCGTTCCCAGGCTCAACAGGGAGCTGGACTGGAAATGGAGCAGCTGGGACTCAAACCTACACGCCTATGGAAGTGGTTTCATAGGAGGAAGCTTAAGCGGCTGCACCATACCTTCTGAAAATACAGTGCAAGAGGTAACACACAGCAACCCCATGGGAGCCGCCGGTGACAGCCACCGAAGTTGGCGGCAACTACTGCTTTCTGGCTTATCGTTATCAATAACAGAAAACCCAGGTGGCAGATGCGTTACCTGTGTATGCAGTCGTAACACTTAAAAGCAGCATCTCCTTGGTGACACATAACTTAACAGACTTTCCTGTTTAAGAGAGAGAGAGAGAACTTAGACTTTCAACTGACTCAACAAAAAATCTGAAATATTTCTTTAACCAAAACATTCCTTATCAATAATGAGTCAACAAGTACTGTAAGGAGGCTAAAGGTTCATATTAAATGTTTACAATGAACAAAATCTGTTCTGTACATAAAACTACTGATTTCAAGAATTTAAATATCCTGTAGAATCTCATTTTGTTCAAAGCATTTTCCAAGTCTTTAGACAAAAACAACATCAAAGAGCAACAAGAAAACAGGAGCAGACCATGTCAGTAGGCATAAGGGTTAGCTGGAAAGGGCCAGGACGGCTGGTCAGGCACTGACATTGCCAAGGAAGTGTCCTGTGGCCGGCCCGGGATTGGACTCCAGGCCAGGATGCCCAGAGGATCTTAACAGAAAGGAACAATTCAGCTGAGCAGCACACCTACCAGCCGACTGTCCTTCCCTTCTCTGTGGTGGGAACTAGAGTGTGCAGCCCCTGGCCAGGGAGGACTGCTGCGGGGGAGGGGAGCAGCAGCCCCCCAGCAAGCAGCTCAGAGCGCAGGCGGAGAGAACTGGCAGGATGACAGCACCTCCCACCCCTCCCACTCCCTCGCCAGATGTTCACGGCAAACACTGGTGGAGCTCAGGGAAGCAAAGGCCAGCGCTCCCGCCCAGCCCGGGCATTTGGGACATGGGAAATACTTACTGAATGCATCAGCTGCCTTGGTCATGGTGGTCTGGGTGGACCTGAGAAATCAAAGAGAACCAGTTTTTTCCCTGAAAACTAAGAGATGTTCTTATCCTGCTGCACTCCAAACTAATTAAGCATTTGGGAGCACCCCACTTCCCACCACTCCATCAAGCTCTCCAGCAGGAGACTGCAGACCAGCTGCGTGTGGTGGGGCCGGGACGCACCAGGACCTGCTGGTGGAGGACGCAGGCTTTGCCATTCCAAAGTCATGGGTTTCTAGAGAAGTGATTTCATTTATCTCCTCATTCATAAAACAGGGTCTCTGCGATTATGTATGGGGATTAGATGAGATGATGTTACAAAGCCTAACAGTGAGGAAATTTCATTTACATTTTTCAGGCACAGTGCAAAGGCCTAGTGGTTAAAGTCCTCGCCTTGCATGCGCCTTGCTTGTGGCCAGGGAAAGCAACCCAGGATGGTCTTGGATCTGGAAGAAGCTCCTGGTTTTGGACTCGCTCAGCTCCGGCTGTTGCAGTCATCTGGGGAATAACCAAGCAGATGAAAGACCTTTCTGTCTCTCCTTCTCTTCATAAATTTTTCTTTCTTTCTCTTTTTTTCCCCTGTATCTGGGGTCAGGGGAGCCTCACACCCACCCCAGATCCCCGACGTGAGGCGCGCTCCGAGGGTCCTGCTCAAGAAGTTTTGATAGATCAACAGCTCTGAATTGCTGTCAATCTCAGTAAATCTTTCAAGTAAAAACAAACAAAAGAAAAATTGCATTTCTTGTCCTACTAGCCTAATCTACTTGTCTTATATCTTTAAATTGCATTGCTCACCCTCCCCTGAGAAGGGAGCTAATGTAGAACCAACTGATTTAAGAATGTAAAAATTTACTTCTATTCAAAAGACATTTTAAGGTCTGGAGCAGTAGCCTAGTGGCTAAAGTCTTCTCCATGCATGCCAAGGATCCCATAAGGGCACCGGTTCATGTCCTGGTAGCTCCACTTCCCATCCAGCTCCCTGCTTTCGGCCTGGGAAAGCAGTCAAGGATGGCCCAAAGCCTTGAGACCCTGCACCCTTATGGGAGACCCGGAAGAAACTCCTGGCTCGTGGCTTCGGATCGGCACAGTACTGGCCATTGTGGTCACTTGGGGAGTAAATCATCTAACAGATCTTCCTGAAAAACCACCAGGAAAGCTTTTCCTCACCCTAAAGCGCAGGTCTCCTTGGAAGCAAATCCCGTGCACACCTCCCTAGCCAGGGGCGCCCCCCCTTGGGATCCAAGGGTAAAGGATTTCAGTATTTCACACTCCAGGCCTCCAATCAGAACTGATTCACGCCACTAAAACACCAACAACTCCACAGCAGATCACTGCCAATTCAACTCGGGAGGTTTTTCAAGGAAGGGATTTTCAGTGCTGGAATTCTAGAGCAAAGCAACACACAGGTCCTCCAGGTTCGGGTGGCCAAGGTCTGGCATCAGTGCTGCCCTCACCCTCATCCTTCAAGGCGATAGATACCATGGCAGCAACCAACTACACCCATCCCAATCGCACTGCTGTGCCCTTTGGCTGTGATGGTGGACTCAGCACGTGAGCTAAATCATAATAAAACTGTCAGGATATTCTCGTTTCTTTTCTCTTTGTCTCCCACAGGAAAGCAAAACTCAGGACTTCAAAGCTAACAGTGTGTGTTGCCCAGTGCAGGATCCTGGGACACCAGACACTCAGGTATGGGGGCTGGGGACACAGGTGGCTGGAATGGACAAAGGTCAATAAACTGCTACCCAGCTGCCTGTCTTCAGAGACACAGATCAAAACCTCAGGACAAAAACCTGATGTTGTGGCACCTTCAAACGACTGTGGGCATCTCTGATGATTTTCACAGAGCCTGTCAGAAGGATGCTTTCAAATCACATCTTAATGCAGGTAACACACTAAGTACGTCTGCTTCCCCACCTAAGCGACCTCAGAGACCCCCTCTCCACACACTGGTGGGAGCTGGGCCAGAGCCAGCCAGTGGAACTATGGCTCCTGCATGCCAGCTGCTGGGCCCTGCCATTCACTGGGCACATCAGGCAGGAAGTGAGGACTCGCAGAAAGCAGAGCCCAGTAGGAGCACGGAGGAACACCCGTCAGTTTCACACAGGTCACCCTCTCTCATCACCTTACAGATGCTGCTAGCCTCCCCACTCCCAGCAAGGCAGGTTCCCAGGAGATTCCTGCCCAGCCAGCACTTGACAGGCGAACAGGCCTGAGAGCCCTAGGTGGTGAAACCTCCACAGCCTGTCCCGGCCCCCAGGCCCACGGGAAGCTCCTCTGCCCAGAACCAGGGGCCCACCCAGTCTGACAGCACAGAGCAGGAAACTCAGGAGGCATTTCATCCAATTCACACTCAGCAAAGCCCTCGTCCTGGAGGGGGTGGGACACACAGGACCTCATCTCTGACGCCCCCATTTAGGAAGAGACTGTGAGCTCTCAGCTCTTCCCTGAGCTGACTGGATGCAGGTGGCTTCTCCCCACTGATCCCCGCTGGCTTTGCCCAGTCTGGGTGCCTGGGTACTCCTCAGGTTCTGTTTGGAGACATGCCTATCCACGCTGACAGACACCCTGCCCCGTTACCTCGCCACCTCCCTGACCACGCTCCTCAGTCTTAAGTCTGAATTCCTTCCTGTGTGAAAACAAGAAACTAACCCACTCAGCACTGTGCACAGTGCCACAGGAATCAGAAGCTTCAGGGCTGGGTCACAGACCCAGGAACGCAGGGCAAAGACCGCTTCCTATCTCACTCTGGAAGGCCACATTCTCACACAGAATAGGGGACTGCCGGCAGTGCTGCAGCAGGACACAAGGCCCAGGGACCTGAGGAGACCATGGCTGCCGGTCAGGTGCAAGTCCCCTGTCGGCTCGGGCGTGCCTCCCTGCCTCCCAGTGGCCCTCCTCCTTCTGTCTCCATCTTCCTGTAAGGTTTCTTGGAGCACGCTGCGGCAGCAGTGGGGAGAAGGCTAAGCAGGCACAGACTGGTTCGGCTGGGATCACTTCCTGCCCGTTGCTTACGCATTGTTTTCCAGGTCCTGGTCGTCGGAAGACTCCTCCTCTCCCAGGACATTCTCCACATCTGGCTTCCGAATAAGAAAGAAGAGAACAGCCCCGATGAGGCTGATCACCGTGAGGGCGATGAACACTGTTCTCCGGTCACTCTCTACAGCGGGAGAAGAAAGGAGAAAGCGGATAGCACGGACCAGATGGTTCCAGAACGAGCACCGTGTGTGTGGGCTAGCTGACGAGCTTCCCCCTGACTCTTCACTCTAACGGGTCAGGAAACACAGCAGGGAGAGGCCAACAGGCCCAGACACAGACAGCACCAGGACCTAGGTAACAGCTGGCCAGACAACACCCCTAGACACTGCAGTTACCTCCACGACCGCCTGGCACCTTCATACACGGCCTGCCCTCTTAGACCTTGAGACAAAACTTGGCGCACAATGACAAACTATAATCCTAGGTTAAGAACATCACCTAGGACCAGCGCTGTGGCCTAGTGGTTAAAGTCCTCGCCTTGAACGCATCGGGATCCCATACCAGTGCCGGTTCTAATCCTGGCAGTTCCACTTTCCATCCAGCTCCCTGCTTATGGCCTGGGAAAGCAGTCAAGGATGGCCCAAAGCCTTGGGATCCTGCACCCTTGTGGGAAACCCGGAAGAGCTCCTAGCTCCTGGCTCCTGGTTTCAGATCAGCGCAGCACTGGTCACTGTGGTCACTTGCGGAGCGAATCATCGGTTGGAAAATTTCCCCTCTATATATATCTAACTTTGCAATAAAAATGAGTAAATCTTAAAAAAAAAAAAAAAAAGAACATCACCCAAGGGGCCAGCTTCGCAGCGCAGCACAGTAAGCTGCCACCTGTGGTGCTGACATCTCAAATGGACACTGGTTTGTCTTGCAGCGCTTCTAACCTGGCTCCCCGCTAGTGGCCTGGGAAAAGCAGAAGACGGCCCAAGTGTCTGGGGCCCTGTCACGCACGTGGGAAATGTGGGAGAGGCTCTGGCCTCCAGCGCTGGCCGGCCCCAGTCCCGGCCATTGTAGCCAGCTGGGGAGTAGACCGGCAATTGGAAGGTCACTCTCTCTGTATACTTAATTCTGCCTTTCAAATAAATAATCTTCAAGGAAGAAAGCTAGAGTCTGAGAGCTGCTTTACAATGTTTGAGAACAGCAAGCCTGGGTCCTTCCGTGGAACTGCTCTTGTACTCTGGATATACCTGAACACAGCCAAGTGGAGGAAACCAACCTGAAATGTGAGTCTTCCCTTGCCAAGCAAAATATATGTAGAGATTTCCAAAGAACAAGCTGCAGGAAGAAAGAGAAGAAAGGAGGTCGGTACATTCCGGAACATTCTTCCATGTGCATTGTTTCTTTAAGCAATTATGTCTACAACCTTTTTTTTTTCCAGGCAGACAGAATGACCCCCCTGAGCAGCAGGGATCCAAGAACTCCAGCCAGCACCTGCTGCCTTGCAAGGTGCACAGTGAAGCAGCAAGTTAGACCTGGAAGAAGCCAGAACTGGAGCTCAGGTACCCGGAGAAGGGGTGCGGGGCTCCTTGTGCACCTGAACCGTGGGGCCGAGCAGCTGCTATTTCCTTTCAATCACATAATCTCTCAACACAAGCAAATAAGGAAGAACACGCAGACTATAAAATCACCCAGGTGCCATCTTGCCTGGTCACCGACATCTGTTCCAAGAGGCCATGCCTGGGAACAGGATTTCAGGAGAGGTACACCCTGGGGACCAATGCTAAGACTCCCGGACAAAGTCCCCACAAGGCAGCGTCATCCCGGAAGGACCCACCAGTCCCAGTTCATTCAAAAGCACCAGTTGCACCTCTTTTCTGAAAGATGAAGTTGAGTCAAATGAACTTCAAGACCTTTCTCACGAGACAGACCTGACTCACTGGGAAGCACATGGTATTCTAGAACTCTGACTTCTTGGGGACAAGCTTACGCTACGTTTAATGTCCTGAAATGTAAAGAATTCGTGGGATTTAGCCTAGTGGCTAAATCCTTGCCTTGTACGCACCAGGATCCCGTACGGGCCCTGGTTCATGTCCTGGCTGCTCCACTTCCCATCCAGCTCCCTGCTTGTGGCCTGGGAAAGCAGTCGGGACCCTGCACCCGTGTGGGAGACCCGGAGGAAGCTCCTGGCTTCAGATTGGCTCAGCTCCAGCCGTTGTGGCCACTTGGGGAGTGAATCAATGGATGAAAGATGTTCCTCTCTGTTTCTCCTTCTCTGTAAATCTGCCTTTCTAATAAAAATAAATAAATCTTTAAAAAAATTCACAAGAGGAAACTCTATGATTTCATTGCTATGTCCACACAGACAGCACTGAGCAAGCGTGCCACGGGAAGGAGCTATGCACTGCCAGGCCTCCCTCATGGGTCATAGAGTCTTCAGTTCAGCAATCACCAGTTATCACACATTCAAACACACATTCATAAAATCAAACATTTACAATTGTAAGGCTTTGTAAAGGTCAAAATTTTAGCAACAGATTTCTAAAATCCAGAAATCATAAGCACACCACCTGTGGCTGATTTTTTCTAAAACCATGTGCCACATCACACGTGCTGCGCTGGTTCAGTCAGGCTCATTGCTGCATTCAGTCAGCAGCTCCCAGGTCCAGCTCAGTGGGAAGGGTACAGCCCTTGAGATCAAGAGCACAAAGCCTTAAGCAGGAACCATTAGGGGCCAGCTTGCATTAAGCTGCCACTAACCATACTGCATCCCACACCAAACTGTCAGTTCAAGTCCCAGCTGCTCCACTTACAACCTAGCTTCGTGCTAAAGCACCTGGGAAAGCAGTGGAAAATGGGCTGAGTACTGGGGCCCCTGCCACCCGCGCAGGAGACCTGGACAGAGCTCCCGGCTCCAGCGTGGCACAGACCTGGGTGTTGTGGCCAGTTGAGTAATTAATCAGAGAATGGAAGACCTCTCTCCATTGCACTGCCTTTCAGATAAAGAAATAAATATCGATTCTATAAATTGGAGAAGGTACTTAAACACAAAGTATAACCACGCCTCTCCTGAGAAACTAAGAACAGAACCCAAAGCCCCTGAGGACACGGAGGACAGCACATATGTTCCAGTCCACACATGTCCACTCATCCTCCCAGATGTCCAAGCTGCCTCAGTCACTTATGAGCCAAGTCGTGTAACACTGAACATCCACGTTTTCTAAAAACAAACACCTAAGAAACAGGTTCCCCCCCCCGCCATACACACTAAGGAAAAACCCAAGCTTCCATTCGGGCATTACCTGGACTGCAAGAGTGCCCAGAAAATCCCGCTGTTCCTCCCAATAGTGTGCTCGTCCGAGTTGATTGTCAGGCAGTTGCCCTGTGCTGTCCAGAGGACTACAATTGAAACCAAAACGTGTTAAGGAAGTGAACCTCCTCAGCGCTGCCCACGACCCCTGCCCAGAAGCCCACCACACTCACCCACCACTCCAACCCGGAAGCCCACCACACTCACCCACCACCCCAACCCGGAAGCCCACCACACTCACCCACCACCCCAACCCGGAAGCTCACCACACTCACCCGCAGCTGCAACTCCCAGGAACACAGAGGCGGTATAGAAGGACCAGGTGAAAGGCTGGATAAAAACGGCAATGTACATGCTAAAATATAACAGGCCAACGCATTACCGTCACACAATACCCGAGCCAGGCGCCACACGCGCCTTCTAGGGACTGCTTCCGGGCCCTCTACCTTTATTCAACCTGTGAGACATCTTTCCAGATTTGAAAAGAAAGGGACAAACATGATCCATTCTTTTCACTTACTGCTCTCTGAAACCCAAGATGGTGTGTCTCACACCGGTTTGTAACAGCACAAAACAAAAACTCAGCACACAGAGGCCCCAGCCCTGGGATCTACAGAAACGCCTGGTTATTTCACTAGAACTCCTGTCGGTTTATTGGATGCAAAGCGAGACAGCTTCATGATTTCACCGTGAAGCCACTGCTGCAGTATAGCAGGTAACACCATAACCACCTGCAGTGCTGGCATCCCATAGCAGCACTGGTTCGGTTCCTGGCTGCTCCGTTTCTAATCCAGCTCCCTGCTCACGTGCCTGGGAAACCAGCAAAGACAGTCCAAGTGCTTGGGCCCTGCACCCATGTGGAAGATCCAGATGAAGCTCCTGGCCCAGCCCTGGCCACTGTGGCCATCTGGGGAGTGAACTCGGGGATGGAGGATCTCTCTCTGTAACACTGCCTTTCTGATCAAATAAATAAATCTTGAAGGAAAAGGTCACACATACACAACCAGCAGCAAGCAGAGGACAACTGCCCGAGTCCCACCTGTATCCCATTCCAGCTCTTGCTGGACGCCTACTGTGGGCTTGGGAGATGCAGAAGTGTCCCAGGGAAGATGGGGAGGAGAGCCGCGCTCACCTGTAGAATAACCCGCTGGCAAACATGGAGAGCTGAGGTCCAACGACGGCGACCACGGATGGCGTGATCAGGTTGGAAGCAGAGAACACCCCATAAATGATGGCCATGCTGTCCAGAGCACCCAGGAGAGAAACACAAGCTCTCATGTCTCAAAAGCTTTGGGAACTCAGGTGTCCCCAGATTTCACAAAAGGCATTCCTCTTTGCCTGATGCGTGATGTCACCAATAAACTGAATCTAGCGTTAAAGTTCTCACTTGTACAAAACATTGCACTCCCACCCAATGTCTCTTGGCATCAGTTTACCTACAAAAATGTTTAATTACTGGCAAATTATGATGACTGTGAATCTGCAACAAGTACGGAGCCAAGTACTTCAGCCACATTTTCTCCTCTAATCCTAACAGTTCAAGGAATGAAATATTGCTATTGGTCTCATGCTAAAAAAGTGAAATGCCTGGTGGGTGAGCGACCTGCTGGAAGCACAGTTGGTGGCTGTGATGGGCGAGCCAGCACTCCGTCCCCTGCAACCAAGTCCAGGGGCCTCGGTCCACCTGACAGTGCTACCAACTTAGCTTACAACTTCTGCCTACCGTGGGACCTTCCTCTCCTGTAAATCACAAACCTGAAGGTAAAACCTGTTAAATAGGAATTTACTATCCTCGACCAAACAGCCTCACCTGAGCATCACGCCAGTGGCGCTAGGACAAGGTGGTATGCACGGTGTGGCTGACATCCTTTCCCGGATCCCGAGCCCTTCACTAGCCAACCATTCCTAAGTGCACTTGCCTCTCGACCTTGATCTCAAACGTCAAGTGTGTGTTCCACCTGCTCTACACAGTACGCAAGACAAGACACTACCACAGAGAGGGGCACTGGAGCCGCTGCCTCGACGCCAGATCCCGTGTGGTTGCGGGTTTGAACCTCGTCTACTCTGCCTCCCGTCCAGCTCCCTAATGTCCCAGGGAAATCCGTGGAAATACCTGGGCCTGTGCACCAACCAGGAGTCCCAGGGGAAGTGCCATACACCTGACGTGGGACTGGGCCAGCGCTGGCTGTTGCAGTAAGTTGGGAAGTGCACCACAGATGGAAAATTTCTGTTTCTCTCCCCTTCTCTGTATCATTGAGTTTCAAGCAAATAAATAATTGGGGGGTGGGGGAGCGGTTCCCCGCTCTGGTGTGGTGGCCTAATGGCCGAGGTCCTCATCTTGCACATACAGGGGTCCCATATGGGTACCAGTTCTGGTCCTGGCCTCCCCACTTCCCATCCAGCTCTCTGCCTGTGGCCTGCGGGGAGGTGGGGGGACAACTGAAGGTGGCCCAAAGCCTTAGGACCCTGCACCCACATGGAGACCCGGAAGAAGCTCCTGGCTTTGGATTGGCTCGGTTCCAGCTGTTTTGGTCACTTGGGGAGTGAGTCAGCAGATGGAAGATCTTCCTCTCTTGTATAACTGACTTTCCAGTAAAAATAAATAAATTAAAAAAAAAAAAAAAAAAAAAGAGAGAGAGAGAGAGAGAGAGCGCGGGAAAAACTGGCCAGCATTGTGTCCCAACACGTTAAATGCAGCCAATGACACCATCTCCCCCAGGCCCGCCAGCTGGAGCCCCAGGCGCCCCACTTGCTGGCCCAGCTCCTTGCTCACAGCCCTGGGAGGAGAAGGAGATGCCTGGACCGCTGGCCCCTGTGCAGCAGGACCAGCTGGCGGTCCAAGTGCCCGGTTCTGGCCCAGCACTGGCTGTTGAACCATTGGGGATGAATCTTCCCCCATCCTCTGAAACTCTTTTTTTTTTTTTAGATGTACTTATTTTTATTGGAAAGTCAGATTCACAGAGAGACAGAGAAAGAGCTTCCAAACCACTGGCTCGCTCCCTAAAAGGCTGCAAAAACTGGAACTGAGCTGCAGCTGAGGCGATCTGAAGCCAGGAGCTCCTTCCAGGTCTCCCACAAGGGTGCAGGGTCCCAAAGCTTTGGGCCGTCCCGGACTGCTTTCCCAGGCCACAAGCAGGAAGCTGGATGGAAAGTGGAGCTGCCGGGATGAGAACTGGCGCTCATATGGGAGACTGCTGCTTGCAGGTGGAGAATTAGCTTGTTGAACCACAAAAGTCTATTTATGAAAAAAAGGTTTTTAAACGGCTGCACAGCAGGGAATGCCACAATCCAACACCCAGCTGCCAGGAAATGAGGAAACCTGTGGCTGCAACTCAGCAGCGGTACAAACTCTCTCCAACAGGCTCGGGCAGACAGAGTCCGGAATGCACAACCAGTTAATCAGAAAGGATCCCCGCGCTGGTGTTTCTGTGCAGTGTCAGCTTGGGGCACCAAGAACTGGGGCCCACCCGGGGCCCCTCCCTCGGGGAGCCTCACCCCACCCCCTCTGCTGGCTCATCCAGATGGGGACACGGAAAAGTGCCATCACCCCAGCTCCATCACGAGGTCTCTGCGCTGCCAGTTCCGCCACTGCATTGGAGCCCCCCCACCCCATAAAAATAAATCAGCAAATACAAACCCAAGAAATCCACCAAGCCAAGCGCCGCGTACCTGGTGTAGCCGCTGCCGTGGAAATCCGTGCTGTTTAAACTCCGGATGACAGTTTGCTGTGCGGAACACGAAACCCATCAGAGTCCACGCGTGGCCAGCTGCCCCCGATACCCCTCTGCGACAAAAGCCGCTGGGTTTCACGCTGGACGCCTGGGGTGACCTCGCAAGCCCCCAGCCCGGCCACGCAGAGCCGGGCTTAACCCGGGCAAGCGCCACATGCCAACCCCGAAGGGGACCAGGAGAAGCCCTCGGGGAGGCGGCAGAACAGCAAGCAGAAGCTGGGGCAAGTGGGGCGTCCCCTCCATCCACGCCGCTCGTCGCCACTGTGGGGGCATGCATGCGACAGGCACCTCCGCGGGCTGCGACTCACCGCCACATTCCCACAAGTCTGAAAGGCGGTGAACATAAACATAAAGGCCACTCCTAAAATAACGATGTTGAAAAGCTTTTTCGATTCCGGGGACATCTCGGCCTCGACTCCGGCGGACGGCCGCCGACAGTCCTGAGGAACCTGGGAGACCGGCCGCTTCCCCTGCTCGGGCGACTCCGGGGCCGCGCTCAGGACATCCCTCGGGACGAGGCTCCAGTAGGGTCAGCGTCCAGAGGGCGGCTGCTCGCGGGGAAGGATGACCAGCTGGCCGAGGGCGGGCCGACCGCTGGCGCGGGGCCCAGGTCACCTGACCGCAGCGCCCGCCGCAGGGACGCCTGGGAATTGTAGTTCCTGCCCGGGAGGCCTCGAGCGCGCAGGCGCACGCCAAGCGCAGCCGCTCCCTGAGGCGAGGCGGGGCGGGCCGAGGCGGGAAGGCTGGCTGAGAAGGCCGAGGGCACAGCGAGGCGCCCCTGACGGAAGAACCTGGGCTGAGGGCCGCGCTAGAGAGCCGCGTGGACGCCCGGCACCGGCGTGAGGGGAAGGCGAGGCCCGGCCCGCCAGCGCCGCCTCGTCAGCCTCGCCGCCGGATGCGCCGTTTCGCGGGCTTTCCAACCGCCCGCCACTTCCGCTCCTCCTCCCTCCCGCAGTGACTCCGCGCTTTTCCGCCCGTCCGCGGGGCGCTGCGCAGGCGCACTCCGCAGGGGCGGGGCGCGCGGCCCGCGACGTTAGGGGACGGGGCGGGGCGAGCCAATCACAGGGATTTATTTCCGGGTGGCGCGGGCGCCATTTTGTGAGGCGGACTATAAACGGGCGCGGAGGCCGGCCGGCGGCCCGGTTGCTGCTGAGGAGCTCGTGCTCTCCCTCGCTCGTTCCGTCCTCGCTTTTCGGCCCCTCCGCCCGGCCTCGGCCGGCTTCCTGACGCGGGGGGCGGCTCTCCCGGCGCTTGGGCCTCGGGCCGCCTCGCAGCCATGAGTTACGGCCGGCCGCCTCCCGATGTGGAGGGCATGACCTCCCTCAAGGTGGACAACCTGACCTACCGCACGTCGCCCGACACGCTGCGGCGCGTCTTCGAGAAGTACGGCCGCGTGGGCGACGTGTACATCCCGCGGGACCGCTACACCAAAGAGTCCCGCGGCTTCGCCTTCGTGCGCTTCCACGACAAGCGCGACGCCGAGGACGCCATGGACGCCATGGACGGCGCCGTGCTGGACGGCCGCGAGCTGCGCGTGCAGATGGCGCGCTACGGCCGGCCGCCCGACTCGCACCACAGCCGCCGGGGCCCGCCGCCGCGCCGCTACGGGGGAGGGGGCTACGGCCGGCGGAGCCGCAGGTGAGCGGGCGGGCGCGGGGCGGCCATGGCGGGCGGCGGGCGGGCGCGCGGGGACATGGCCGCCTCCCTCTCACGCCCCGTTCCTCCCCGTCCCGCAGCCCCCGGCGACGCCGCCGCTCCCGCTCCCGCTCCCGGAGCCGATCCCGCTCCCGCAGCCGCTCCCGCTACAGCCGCTCCAAGTCTCGCTCCCGCACGCGCTCGCGCTCCCGCTCCACGTCCAAGTCCCGCTCGGCGCGGCGCTCCAAGTCCAAGTCGTCGTCGGTGTCGCGCTCGAGGTCCAGGTCCAGGTCGAGGTCCCGCTCCCGCAGCCCGCCGCCCGCGTCCAAGCGCGAGTCCAAGTCGCGCTCGCGCTCCAAGAGCCCCCCCAAGTCCCCGGAGGAGGAGGGCGCCGTGTCGTCGTGAGCGCCCGGTAACGGCGGGTCCCGCGGGGCGCGGGGGGTCGCAGGTGGTGGTGGCTGTGCGGCAACTGTGACCTACTAATGACCATGCCTGTTTCTTGCTGTTCTTACCCAACGTCTGCATTCTCCCCTTTAAAGCTGCGGTCTCCTGTTTGGTAACAGAATATTGGCCAGTATTGCAGACTTTAACTGGTTTGGCTGATCCTCCAGGGACCAGTTTCTGTGGGCGTGTGTTGGAGCAGGTTTGTCTTTAAACGTTAAAGATGCACTATCCTCAGACGATCAGGCGGCTCCGGCCGCGCTGGCTGGGACTCGAGGCTCGTGGCCGTAGCGCACGAGTTGCAGTAAGGAGCAGTGAACTTGGGCAACCCCAAAAGAGCAGTCTGCAGGTATCGGAGAGCGCTGGGTGGGAAAAGGATAGTGTGTCTTTAACTCTGAGTCGTTTGGTCCTGTTTTTCGAAGAGGAAAGGGCCCTAACCAGCTCAGAGGAGCCTTAGCCGTTCTCGATTGCCAAATGCTTACTTTGCAAACCTAGACCTTAAAATAGAGATGGGTGATCCATCCGACTTAAGATTTTTTGTTTGGATACACCCCCACACCCCAGCTCCCCACCCTGCCCCATTTTTCCCCCACATTCCCCCGCCCCCCCTTTTCTTCACCTTGGTTATTAAGCCACCAAAAAGCAAAGATTAAAAAGTCCAACGTGAGCGATTGGTAGCCATCGGCGCCCCGGCGCTGGCGGGCGAGCCGCCCTCTAGGCTCCCGGCCCCCCCAGCCTTAGCGAGCAGGCTGCCCGACTGCTCCTGGTGCGGGGCGGCCCGGCTGAACTTGTCTCTCTTCACACCTAGATGTGTCCGCAAGGAGCCTAACGGAGCACCACCGGCTAAGGACCACAGCTCAGGCCGTCGTCTGGTCCGTGGAAGAACCCTTGGGACAAGCAACTGGCTATTGAAAAGGTTATTTTGTAACATTAACTTTTTACTTGTTTTAATCTTTGCCTCAGGTGGCAAACTTCATTTTATGTGCCATTTTGTTGCTGTTATTCAAATTTCTTGTAATTTAGTGAGGTGAACGACTACAGATTTCATTATTGCATTGGATATTTGAGGTAAAATTTCATTTTGTTTATATAGTGCTGACTTTTTTTGTTTGGAATTAAACAGATTGGTAACCTAATTTGTGACCTCCTGACTTTAAGGAAACAGTCTAAAGCGGTCAAGAGATTGACTCAACATTGCCTTCATTCATTAACATTAAAAACTGCAAAAATGGTGTCAATTTGTATATGTTATTTGCCTTCAGATCTAAATGGTAATCTGAATCCAAATTTGTATAAAGACTGCAGGTGAAAAGATTTGACTTTTTTTTTTTTAAAGGATTGTTGACCAAACACAATTCTAATCTCTTCTCTTGTGTATTTTTGTGCACTAGGCGCAGTTGTGTAGCAGTTCAGTAATGCTGGTTAGCTGTTAAGGTGGCGTGTTGCAGTGCAGAGTGCTTGGCTGTTTCCTGTTGTCTCCTGGTTGCTCCTGTGTAGAGAGATGCCTGTCGTGCAGAAACAAATGGCTGTCGAGTTTATTAAATGCCTGACAACTGCACTTCCAGTCACCGGGCCTTGCCTATAGATAACGGAGCATACAGTGAGCACATCTAGCTGATGATAAATACACCATTTTACCCCCCTCCCCACCTGCCCCCAAATGGTAAATTGATGATCCTGTATGAACTTAAAATGGAAAATGTTAAGGAAACATGGTTTGTAACTTTGTAAGTACTTAACCACATGGTGTATCTTTGCTTATGGATATTCTGTACTATAACCATTGTTTCTGTAGTTTAATTAAAATGTTTCTTGGTGTTAGCTTTTCTCAGAATATGTCTTGGTCTTTTCTTTTCCTATGTCCACTTGAAAGACTATGCGATTACGTCAGTGTCAAACTGCAGTGTGAAATGGGCAGACCTGAACCCTGATTGTGTCAGTAGCTCATTTATGGCCCTTTATGACCAAGAGCAATTGAGTCATTTTTTTTGGCTGTTTTATTATTTCAAGTTCATTGTTATTCATAAGTGTTAAATTACACAGAATTTGCCATCTTGAAGCCGGCTTGGGTCCCAAGCTGGTCCCGGGGTTGGTGTTGTCCCGACAGCTGCGTATAGCTCCCACTGGCCTCTGCGAGGGAGATGACTAGCATCTCCACTGTGTGTCTTCCTGGGAGGGCCGAGGCCGCTATGTGCTCCCTGTCGGCATCGAAAGACGCCAGGGGAACGCGAACACATTTCATGTCCCACTTGTAGAGCAAAGCTTCCAGCGACCAGTCGGCACTGGGGGAAAAATAAATGCTTTACTGATCGATCACCGTGTTTCTTGCTTCGGGCGCGTTTTCATCTAGGCATTGCCAGGGTTAGGCTGCGTTGGAACACTCACCTCCTGACCTGGTAGGTGGACCACAGCTGCACTTTGGGGTTCTTTTGCATCAGGAAGTATACTGTAGTTAGGATGTCCTCAAAGTCTGAGAAGGGATTTGGGTAAGCGTGTTAGCCTTTCTCTACAATGCTACTCTGATCCAGCAGACCACTTAGCAAAAAAGCTTACCTTCTGGCTCAAAGAACACGTCCGATGCAAGAATGATATCTTGGGGAGGTAGGGCGAGGAGACTTGGAGACACGTGGCCCCATGTTAGCCCCAGCACTGGCATCTCCGGTAGGCTGTTCATCTGGCAGCTCTGCCGGCAGATGGCTAGACAGTGCGGCAGCTCGGAGCTGTCTGACAGTGTGACTTGAGCGCCACACTTCGCAGCCACGATTCCTGGAAGACTCACGCCAGCTCCGATCTGTTGAAAAGAGCAGTTTTGAGATTGTAATAAAGCTAGGAGTGGCGTTTGCATCTGCCAACTGGGTCAATGTAACAGACTGGTGGATCGTAGAGAACCAGTTAGGACCTTTCAAAAGCAAGTCCTTCCCCCGCTTTTTCTTTTGTCAAGGCATAAAGATTCCAGAAGGGTAAAGAACTCCAACCTGGTTCATACCCTGAAAGGCTCTGGTGCCAAGGGCAGGGCTGGCTGGGGTTCCCATGATGATGGCTGGAAGTCATGGCCTGCCTCAACAAGGAAGCCAAACAGTGGAGCCAAAGTGGACTCCACCAGCTAGTGGACAAGTTTCAGCCTAGTCCTCAACCTGCAAGTGCTGGCATGTGGTTGCTGCTGGTTCATGTCCCAGCTGCTTGTGACTACCTGGGGAGGCAGTGGAGGATGGCCCAAGTGCCTGGGCCCTGTACCCACGTCTGACGAAGCCGCTGACCTGTCCAGTTCCACAGCCTGAGCACCATGATGTGAAAGATCTGTCGTCTCATATCTAAGCCTGCCTTTCTGGTAAGAATAAATCTTAGAAAATCCCAAACAAGCCTTTTCTTTTTTTCAAGATTGATTTTTATTTGGAAAGGTAGATATACACAGAGGAGATAGAAAAGATCTTCCGTCTGATGATTCACTCTCCTGGCTGCAACAGCTGATCCAAAGCCAAGAGCCTCTTCGGGTCTCCCGTGCTGGGGGCAGGGTCCCAAGGCTTTGGGCCGTCCTCCACTGCTTTCCCAGGCCACAGGCAGGGAGCTGGATGGGAAGTGGAGCGGCAGGGATCCTGGCATGTGTAAGGCCCTCTTAGCCACTAGGCTACAGTGCCAGGCCTCCAAACTAGCCCTTTCTTTCTCTTTTTAAAGATTTATTTTATTGGAAAGGCAGATATACAGAGAGGAGGAGAGACAGAGAGGAAGATCTTCCAACTGATGATTCACTCCCCAAGCAGCTGCAATGGCTGGAGTTTAGCTAATCCGAAGCCAGGAACTCTTCTGGTCTCCCACGTGGGTACAGGGTCCCGAGGCTTTGGGCCGTCTTGGACTGCTTTCCCAGGCCATAAGTAGGGAGCTGGATGGGAAGTGGAGCAGCCGGGATTAGAACTGGCGCCCATAGGGGATCCCGGTGTGTTCAGGGTGAAGACTTGAGCCGCTAGGCCCCCCCCCCCAAACTAGCCTCTTGACTGCCATGTCCCTGGCTACCCAATTCACTTAGAACTGCTGGGGTACGCCTGAGTGGCTTGGACTTTAACATCCGCCTGCGGGCCTTTCACAGGGTTGCCCAGCTCCTGCTGCCATTCCGGGGAAAGCAGCGGAGGATGGCCCCAGAGGGGTCCTGGCTCCTGGTCACTGGGGGTAGATGGAAGATCCGGGCCTCTCCACCTTTGGCATTCAGTCATGGAGACTGCTGGCAACTGGGGCCTCGTACCTCTAGCACAGCCTTGCTCGGCAGACTTCCTCTGTGGAACCACAGGTACTGGGCCAGGACCACGGCACAGGGCCAAACGTACATTCCATACTGGAGATGCAGAACCTGGAAAGAGACGGTTGTGTGGGGGCCCTGCGCAGTAACCCAGCAGCTAAAGTCCTCGCCTGGCACATGCTGGGATTCCATATGGGCACCGGTTCATATCCTGGCTGCTCCGCGTCCCATCCAGCTCCCTGCCTGTGGCCTGGGAAAGCAGTGGAGTGAAAGCTCAAAGCCTTGGGACCCTGCACCCACGTGGCAAACCTGGAAGAGGCCCAGGGCCTTGGCACCCTGCACCCACGTGGGAGACGCCCAGCCATTGCGGCCGCTTGGGGAGTGAATCATCGGAGAGATCTTCCTCTGTCTTTCCAGTAAAAATAAATCTTGGAGAAAAAAAAAAGGGCTGTGTGAGGCCTACACTGATGGGACAAGGCATACTGCACCCAGCAGGTCCTGTCGGACACAGCAAACTGCGGCAGGCAAACATGCCGGGAATGCCTCATGCGGGGCGGGTGTGGGACCCTGGACGTGCACGTGGGAACGCAGGCCTGTAGCAGGCCTTAGCTTGTAAGAGTTACCTGCACAAGCCCAACTCGTCGCGTGGGACACCCCAGAACCAAGAGACACAGCGCCCAGGGGAACACGTGCCAGGGCGCCCCCCAAGTCAGTGAGTTAACTGCAAACAGCAGCCCAGGGGTCCCTGCGGGGGAGACTGAGCGGGGCAGGAGCCGGAGGGCGGCAGGACAGCGGTCAGAACTGTCCCCGTCGGGAGCACGCAGAGAGGCCCAATCCAGCGCTTCTAGAATCACCCCATTCCTGCCGCCGCCTCCCGCACGCACCTGCGGCACGCGGACCTCCAGCGCGGGCCCCTCGCCCCCGGGGCCCGAGAACCGAAAGCGCTGGATGCGGACCGCATGTCCTCCCAAGCCCGGCTCGTCCACAGAGGCGCCGGGACGCCCCGGGCGTGCGGGGGACGGCGGCGGGCACCGAGCGGCCAGACTGCGCGCGTGGGGCCCCCGCGCACGGACAGGGCGAGCCCGAGCCCCGCGCGCCCACACCCCGCACCCCAACAGGCAGGCCAGCACCGCCAGCCCGCGCGCGGCCGGAAGTGGCCGGCACGCCGGAAGCGGGCGGGGAGCAGGAGGAAGGAGACGGCGGCGCGGCGGCTGACGTGACCTTCCCAACATGGCGGAGGCCCGGCCTGTGTGAGGGCGGGTCCCGGAGGCGCCGAGGCCAATGACGGACGGCGAGACATGGTGGGGCGGGGAGGACGGCCGCCGCAGGCCCAACCCGAGGCTTGGGAGGTGGCTGCCGAGTGAATATTCTGGAAGGCGACTTTAAAGGCGGCGGGGCCCGGGACGAAGGGCGTTGTGGGGCCGAGCTGGAAGCAGGCTGAGCCGGGCTGGGGGTGGCGGGGCGGCGTGTTCGGGGCCAGGCAGCGTGGCCGCCCGCCGGGGACCCCGGCAGCATGAACCACAAGAGCAAGAAGCGGATCCGCGAGGCCAAGCGCAGTGCGCGGCCGGAGCTCAAGGACTCGCTCGACTGGACCCGGCACAACTACTACGAGAGCTTCCCGCTGAGCCCGGCGGCCGTGGCGGTGAGCGCCCGGGGCGGCCGGTGCGGAGCCGGGGCGCGCACTGGCCCGCCACGGGGGCCTCGGGCGGCGGGCAGCCGGGGTAACCGCGTCGGTCTTTTCTGATCCCCTCAGGACAACGTGGAGCGGGCCGACGCGCGGCAGCTGTCGGTGGAGGAGTTCGTGGAGCGCTACGAGCGCCCCTACAAGCCCGTGGTGCTCCTGCACGCCCAGGAGGGCTGGTCCGCGCCCGAGAAATGGACTCTGGAGCGCCTCAAAAGGAAGTACCGGAATCAGAAGTTCAAGTGCGGCGAGGATAACGACGGCTACTCGGTCAAGATGAAGATGAAGTACTACATCGAGTACATGGAGAGCACGCGCGACGACAGCCCCCTCTACATCTTCGACAGCAGCTACGGGGAGCACCCCAAGAGAAAGAAACTCCTGGAGGACTACAAAGTGCCCAAGTTTTTCACCGACGACCTCTTCCAGTACGCGGGGGAGAAGCGCAGGCCGCCCTACAGGTGAGGCCTCGGACCCCCATGCCCGCTGCACCTGCCTGCCCCGGAGTGGCTGCCCCGCATGACTCCACGCATCTTGGGTGCTGGCCCAATAGTGGGTGCCACCCACATGAGGGACCCAGATGGTGTTCCAGGGTACAAGAGAATGATCTAGTGGGGGGGGGGCTGCCACCCGAGGGGCCCTGAACCATAAGGCGGGCTGTGGGAGTTAAGGTCCACCGGGAGTTGTTTTGCTCTTAATTTTATTGTTTCAAGGTATTACAAGTTATATACTCTCTGAGATATGAAAAGCGCCTGAGACAGGAGGCAGGGTGTGCTGTGCGGAGGACAGAGAGTCACCCTTGGGTGCATGGCTGTGTCCACAGGTGGTTCGTGATGGGACCGCCACGTTCTGGCACGGGCATCCACATCGACCCTCTGGGAACCAGCGCCTGGAACGCCTTGGTGCAGGGCCACAAGCGCTGGTGCCTGTTCCCCACCAGCACCCCACGGGAGCTCATCAAAGTGACCCGAGAAGAGGGTGGCAACCAGCAGGACGAGGCCATCACGTGGTTTCACATCATCTATCCCCGGACGCAGCTTCCCACCTGGCCGGCCGAGTTCAAGCCCCTTGAGATCCTGCAGAAGCCCGGGGAGACCGTCTTTGTGCCAGGTACGTGCGGGCAGCACCGGCTGGGTGGGGCCCGGAAGTCCTGCCACCATGCTGGGTGGAGCTGAGTGCAGGGTTTTGTTTTTTTGTTTTCTTTGACATTCTCCTGGAAACCAGAGGACTTTCTGCCCGTGGACTTTGGCCACTGTCTTGGACTGACACAAAGTCCTGCCCTAGAGGGCCACCCTAGAGGCAGTGCTTCCGGTGGTTCCGTGTCACAGAAGCCAGTCCACAGCCAGACGGCAGGACTGGGCCCCGGGCAGCTCTCCGTAAGACAGGCAGCCCATGCCTGGGGCCTGGAGCCACACCTGCCCACAAGGCGGTCTGGCTCATTGGGCACGTTGTTGACTGCTCTCTCCTGCCTTGCAGGAGGCTGGTGGCATGTTGTCCTCAATCTTGACACCACCATTGCCATCACCCAGAATTTTGCCAGCAGCACCAACTTCCCCGTCGTATGGCACAAGACGGTAAGAGGGAGACCAAAGTTATCGAGGAAGTGGTATAGGTGAGAGCCGTTTTTCTTGTTATTCTTGCTTTATTCCAATTCCTGCCCCAGAGCCAAACATGGAAAAGGAGCCCCCTGCTGCAGCCTGGGGCGCTGGGTTCACAAGGCCACCAGACCCCCCACAGGGTACACAAGGGGGCCCCTGAGGTCAGGCTAGCTCAGGGCGTGGGCCAGCCTCCAGCCTCGGAGCGTGGTCGGAACCAGGACTGCTTCTCGGGCTTTTGTGTTTTGGGTTTTTGTTTTCGAAGCACCAGCACCAACACAAGGAGCCGTTTGGTTGGGTTTTATTGTGGTTGTTTCGTTTGCTTTCCCGTTTGCATTGAAAACCCTCCTTTGTCATGAGCGAGGCGACTGCCCTGGACACTTAGCGCCTCTGTTTATCCACAGAACTGACCCGGCACGGGCAGCGGCCGAGCCAGCCACCCCCAGCCACCCCGTGCCACTGGGTCCCACCTCTGACCTGGAGGGACCGGCTCTCGGGGTAAGAGGGATTCTGGCTTGTTCCGTGCCCTGCCGCCCCAAGAGGGCCAGCTGGGGTGGTGGCCCCCAGTCTCCCTGGTCGCAGGCCACTGCCGAAGCCCCGGAAGGAGAGGGCTGCCGGCCCTGGCTTGGCACCCTTGCTCCTGGCTGCCCCCCTTGTGTGTGCTCCAAGCAGCAGCATCTAACCCTCCCCAGCTTGGATCCCCAAGTTCTGTGCTGTGCAAAGGAAAGCTCTTCCTTCAGGTCACCTAAGAAGGTTCAGGAATAGGAGCCCCACCCCTGCCATCAGCCCAGGGGAATAGGGAAGAGCCAGGGCTAACTCAGGGCACCTACGCCCCACTTTTTAGCAGGATGGCTGGCTCATCTGGGCAGGTGGTAGTGGACAACGTGGGCTTTTCAGAACAACGTGGGCAGTGTGTGTTAGGGTTTCTTGTTAGGCCTGGGCTTTGTGTGTCCTTGCTGTTAGTCAGTGCCCATTCTGAGGTGACACGCCAGCACCTCCGGGGCAGCCATGTTGCCATGTGGGGATGAGGTTGCCCCAGCCCTGAGAGCGCCCCTCTGCCCCCCAGGATCCTGAAGCAGGAGCACCCTGAGCTGGCGGTGCTGGCCGACTCGGTCGACCTCCAGGAGTCTACGGGGATGGCGTCCGACTCCTCCAGCGACTCCTCCAGCTCCTCCAGCTCCAGCTCCTCGGACTCGGACTCGGAGGTGAGGCCCGGCCTGCCTGCCCAGGGCCTCTGCACGCCGCCAGCCCAGCTCGGTCTAGCAGGGAAAAGGGTGGGAACATTTTTTCACTTTATTCCAAGAAATCGAAATACTCGCGCGCCTCCTGAGGGGTGGGTCCATGTGTATATGGAAATTGCCAGTCGCCGTAAGTGGGGACTTAGCGGCGAAGGCCTCCCGCTCACAGCCGCATTGGGGTGACTGCCACGCAAGAGTGAACAGTCTCCCCCTGGGCCGTCACCTGGCAGCCTGGTGACCTGCTCACCAGCCCTGCCAGTCAGTGGCAGTCAGGAGGGCCCTGCCCTGAGCATCTGCCGTCCGTGAGTCCCAGCATCCTGCCAGCTGGCGGCATGCCGGTGGGGGAAGCCGAATAACTGCGGTGCTGTTCCGCTCGCCGCCGAGCGCTGTGCTGTAACTGCCTCAGGACGCCTCCTGTGCGGCACCTTCGGGGCTGGAGCTGAACCAGCGAAGGGAAGAGGCTGAGCCATCCCACGTGGCCTGCGCGTGGCTGGGGAGAGTGAGCATGAGCGCTGGGGGAGAAGGAAGTAGCCAGCAGGTTGAATTCTCGCTGTTTCTCCCCTGTGTCCAGGGAGAGTCGGGCTCTGAAGGAGACGGGATGACGCATCGCAGGAAGAAGAGGCGGACCTGCGGCCTGGTGGGCAACGGGGACACCACCTCCCAGGACGACTGCGTGAGCAAAGAACGCAGCTCCTCCAGGTGACCGTGCGTGGCTGCTGTCTGTGTAGAAGGACGCGTCCCAAGCCGGGCCCAGGCCAGGCTAGGGCCACCTGTCCCAGCCCACAGATGGGGCAGGGCAGATAGAAGGCATAGGATGCAGGGGCCGCTCGGTTACTGGCTCTGTTCTCCTTTGCTCTCGACACCAAGTAATCACAAAGCAATGTGGCTTGTTTTATGAGGAGAAGCAGGAGTCTGTGAGTGGTGCCAAGAACTCCTTACACTATTTAATAAAAATGGAATCGGTTTTACAGCTTTGACCTTTTTTTCTTTGAGCCCCCGCCCTCACTGCTCTTGTCCCGGTTGTCCTGTGGGAAATAAGTGCTCCCGTGGGCTGTGTGCTCCAGGGGGGGCGACGGTGAACGGCCAGAAGGGGAGAGATCCTATTTTTTTTCTTAAGATTTATTTATTTTTATTGGAAAGGCGGATATCCAGAGAAGAAGAGAGACAGAGAGGAAGTACTTCCATCCAATGGTTCACTCCCCAAGTGAGCGCAATGGCTAGAGCTTAGCTAATCAGAAGCCAAGAGCTCTTCTGGGGGTGCAGGGTCCCAAGGCTTTGGGCCATCCTCCACTGCTTTCCCAGGCCACATGCAGGGAGCTGGATGGGAAGCAGGGCTGCCGGGGTTAGAACCGGCAACCATATGGGATCCTGGGCATGCAAGGCGAGGACTTTAACCACTGCGCTATTGCGCCAGGCCAAAAAAGGGGGAGATTCTGAGAAGGTCAGTGTGCGTATTCTGAAAATGCTGCCCCCTGCTCCCCCGTGGCCACTTGGAGGGCTCACAGCATGGTGGGCAGCAGCTGAGAGCCAGGACCTTTTGTGAAACACGGCCAGGTTTCCAGGTTCTGTTGGGGAAATCAAGTCAGATGTTCATGAGTTGGCACTCAGACATCAGCATTTGCCCTGAGGCTGGGCAGGTGGCAGGCTCCAGGGGAGGGGGATTGCTGGCCACCTGTGCCCAGTAATTCCTGTCCCTGTGCTGGTTGGAGGGCAGAGAGGTGAGGTAAGGAAAGACAGGAGAACGCAGAGTGTGGGAGTCGCAGGGTCCGGCGTCCCTCCCAGCCGCGCTGACGTGCTGTCCCCCTCTGCCATCTCCTGGGGGCCGCACGGCCAGCTTCCCGTGCCTCGGCTCCCTGTGCTGTAAATGATTATTGGAGTGGACACCTCTCAGCCCTGACTGTCCCTCCGCAGCTGTGCATGGAGTCCCCTTGGCCTTTTTAAGTTGCATCTGTGCCTAACGTGTGGCGTGGCGCTGTGTGGAGAAGGCCCCGGGGGCGGCTGCACTCCCACTGTGCCATGTGCCTGCTCACCCGCACTGCTGTGCTTTCCTTGGCAGGATTAGGGACACTTGTGGAGGCCGGGCTCACCCCTGAGCAGGCACAGACTCCCCGAGCTGGCTGCAGTGCGTGCTGTTGGGCTCTCGCCTCTTGTTCCTCCCTTCTCTGTCTCCTTGAACGTGGATCTTCCTTCTCTGGCCCAAGCTCCCGTCTTCGATCACAGCTGTTAGCTGGGAGTAGAGTTCAAGACGTTGAAAAGGCCCAGCCAGCTCAGTGAAAGCCTGAAGCCGCTGAGCTGTTGGGTAAGAAGGTCCGTGCCATCTCGCTCGTGCCCCACGCTGGCTGAGCTGGAGGCTGCAGGGCTGGGGCCCCTTCCGCTTGGTCAGCCTGCTGCCCTTGCTAAGGACCATCCCGCTGTGCACGAGCAGCGGCACTGTGTGGCGAGTGACTGGCCCACAAGCAAAGCTGTAGTGTGTGAACATGTGCTGCCTTCGTGGATGTCATCTGTGGTCCTCAAACAGGACGCTGAAGAGCTGAGTACCCAGCACTGGCCAGCATCCGGGGCTCAGTCGGGCCCACCTTCCCTAATCCGGTGTCCACAGCGAGCGGCAGGCGCAGAGTGGGGGAGTTGGTGTGTGGCATTTTGGGGGGTGGGGCAACACCGGGGACAAAGTGGGAAAGGTATTCCGTGTGCTTGTAGCGCTGAGTTTAATGTCCTAGCGGGGCCAGGTCCCTGACAGGTTGAGAAGTGAAAGTTTCCCAGCGTGTGGTCTGAAAGGACTTTAAAGCAGGTGGCCTGAGTCGCTGCAGGACACACGCTTGCACTAAGGGTACTGCCCAGGGGTGGGGTGGAGCCTGGAGGAGCGCTGACCAGCAGAGCCCAGCCCCTGCCCTCCTGAGTCACCCACTCGCCTTAACCGTCCTTAGAGTCATCAGAATTTGCATCCTGGGGGTGTCCAGTTCAGGTCCTGTCGGATGGGGGCTGGGCTTGGGCGCTGGGGGCGGCAAGAGCCCGTGGCAGCCAAGGGCAAGTGGCCCTCTATCTAGAGTGTTCTGAGGGCATGATGTATGGTCGCCTCTCGGAACCCACCAGAAAGCAGGCTTCATTCTGACAGGCTGCCTGCCTTCCTCTGGAAGGGCCGGGGTCTCTGCAGTCACCTTGGGAGGATTTCTGTCCCCTGCCTGACTCACCTGCCAGCTAGGGCTTCTGAAAGAGGCGGAGCAACTCCTGTGGCTCCTGGTGGCCCTGGGGTGTGCCTCAGTGAAGACTGTCTCTTAGGGTAGTTATATCTGAATAGCATTCCTCCTCTGCTTTTTAAAAGCCTTTTCTTGCCATTCTCAAAAAGTTTTTTTTTCTTTTCCCCAGTATTTGACCCTTTTTCTCTCAATTCCAAACCACACTGTTCTTTAATAAAACCGGATACAAAAACCAGGAAAGGCTGTTTGACCACCAGAGGGCGCAGTGGGACACATTGCCACCGGAGGGGCGGGATGTGGGCCCTCCAGCTCAGCTAGCTTTCCAGCAGCTTCTCCCGTGCCCTGGGTGCCTCCTGCCTGCCCTGTTGTTGTGGTGCAGGCTTCACGTGGCTACTGGGTGCCTGCTGCCCACGGTGGGCCAGACCTGGGGTGATGGTTGGGAGGACAGGAAGTTGGATCAGGTCCACCTGTTAAGCAGTTAGTGTGTGAACCAGCCCTCTGAATCATGTCAGCCACAATGAAGAGAGGAGTACAGTCAACTCTTGAGGTGACAGCCAATCCTGAAACAGCTGGGGGCTGAAGTGACCTGGGGCCAGGAGCCACTTATGGGGAGGAGCGAGTGGGTCAGGCTTGGGGGTCTGGGGGCTCTGAAAGGTGGGGGTTTCTGGGGAGGATCGGGGTGGGCCAGGCCAGGGGGTGGGGGCTCAGAAGGGCCGGGGTCCCTGGGGAGTAGCGGGGCGGGCCAAGTCTGGGGACAGGGAGGCTCAAAATGACAGGGTTCCTGGGGAGGAACGGGGTGGGCCAGGCCTGGGGGGGAGGGGCACTCAGAAGGGCAGGGGGTCTCTGGGTTTTAGAACTTCCTCATCAGCCCAAAGATTGGAGCTGGCCTTAAAGTTGGCACTAGTGCCAGGCCATTTAGATGGGCACCCTGAGGGGAGAGCCGCTGACAACTAGGGTGTTCCCACAGTTTGTTCTTGCAGCTGCCCGTTTTCTCCTTTTAAGGATTCATTTATTTAGGCAGAGTTGGAAAGCTTGCATCTGCTGATTTACCCCTCCAAATGGCTGCAGTGGCCAAGGCTGGACAGGCCAAAGCCAGGAGCTTTTTCTGGGTCTCCCACATGAATGCATGGTCCCAAGCTCTCTGGCCATCTTGCACTGCTTTCCCAGGAACATTAGCAGGGAGCAGGAATGGAAGTGGAGCAGTCGGGACTTGAACCAGTGCCCTTGATGAGATGCCAGCATCCAAGTTGGCTGTTAAGCTAGGGTGCCAGCCCCAGTCTATTTCTTGGTACCGCAAGCACTTAGCAAGTGTTCGCAATGTGCGTGGCAGAGGTGGGCCTACCGATAGGCAGCCCGGAATGTGTGGCAAGGCTGGAATGTGTGCCTTTGCCTCTCAGCCCGTGGGCAGCTGGACTCCCACCTGTGGCCCTCAGAGGGCACCGCGGGCCTCCCGTCTCAGTGGGGACTGCTGGAGTGCCCGCTGTCTGTGGTTGTTGGATGGGACCCAGCAGTCCCTAAGTCTGCCTCCTAGTAGCAGCAGCTAGGCCCCCCTCCCACCACCAGCACACACAGTCTGCCCCAGGGGTTGGTATTTTTAACTTTCACAGAGATGAAACTTGTTCATTGTTTTAAATAAAGGAATCTGGTTTGGAGTTGTGTGTTTTGTTTTGTCCTTGGGTTCCATTCTTCCTCACTGAAAAGTCCTCACAGAAAAGCTGGTGGACTGACGGGGCCAGATGAAGACGGGCCTAGCTGTGCAGGGCCCAGTTCCAGCTAAGGTGCCCTGGGAACCTTTGTCACCAGCGAGCCCCCTGCCCTCGTGGGGCTGGGGGGCTTGGGCCGTCCCCTTGAAAGCCAGCGAGTGCTGGCACGGGCACTGCAATTTTCCCAGGAGCATAAAAAATGCTTCCTAAGCAAAAATTAAAACCCTTTAAAAAAAAAGGCAGGGGTCCTCAAGTTTAGCACAGCATGCCCTGTGTTCATGGGGTGGATGTTGGCTACAGCACCCGGAGCTCAAGGGAACCTGGTTCAGCAGCCAGAAGACGCCCAGGAAGGAGGGAAGATGGCCTTGACCCAAGGACTCTGCACCGGCTGCCTTTAGGGGGTCGTGGTGGGTAGCCGGTCCCAGACCTGTGCTGAATGCTGCTGGCTGGCCAGTGGGGTCTGAGCGGCTCCGGGAAGGCCTGGGCCACCAGACTGACTCCCGGGGTCCTCCAAGGCAGTGGCTGCGGCCATCTCCCTAGTGCAGCGACGCACGTCCGTGCCGGGCTGCAGGAGGGGGCGGCCCCATCTCGCCTCCAAGGGGTCTCGGCCTGCGAGTCACTCCGCCCTGGGCCTAGGGGGCCTGGCCTGGCGGGGCGGAGGCTCCACCCCGGGGCGGAGCGCGGCGGGCTCCAGCAGGGTCCCGGCGGGCGGGCACTCGGCGGCAGGCGCGGCGCGATGGAGGCGCCGGCCGAGCTGCTGGCGGCGCTGGCCACCGCGCTGGCGCTGCTGCTCGCCTGGCTGCTCGTGCGACGCGGGGCGGCGGCGACAAGCCCGGAGCCCGCGAGCCCGGAGCCGGCGCCCCCGGCCCGGCCCAGCGCGGCCCCTCCCGACGCCCCGCCGGAACCCTGCGCCCCGGAGACGCCAGCCGCGCACACGGGGCCAGAGGAGCCGGTGGAACCCGAGGAGACCGTGGAGCCCGCGGCGGCACCGGCTGAGGCGGAAGAGCCAGTGGCGGAGGCGAGACAGGTACGCATCCACCCCCACTTATCCGGCGTCCACCCCCACCTCGCCCCCGATCCCGGGGACCCAGCCCTGACATCCCTGAGTGGTCCCAGTGTGCAGGCCGGGCCTCTGCCCTCTGGAGTGGCAGGAAGGAAGGTCCCGGTGCAGCCCGGGCCACTGGGTCGTCTGCTGCCCGCCACAGCTCTCCCGGGCCTGGGGTCAGGGGATGCACACACCCCTCCCGCGTACCCCAACTCGCGAATCCACGTGCCTATGTCTCCCTCCCGAACGCCAGATGACTTGGTGTGGGGAGGATGGGACTTGCGGGTGGGGCACGGACCGGGCAGTTTGACATCCGGATGCCAGAGTTGGTGCGTGTGGGCCCTGGTGAGCCGGCAGGAGGAGGGCTAGACTTGGAGGATGTTAGGGCCAGCCCTGGCTACCCATGTCCTGCTGGGGACATCCCGTGGTGTCCCGTGCACTTTCCCACCGGCTGATGATACTTGAGCTAGCTGGTGCCTCTGTCCACCCTTGGATGGGAAGTTCAGGCATTGTGGCCCCTGCTTTGCCAGGAGGGGGTGGGAACTGAGACCCTGCTGTAGCCTGTGCTTGGTCAGCTGGACACAATAGCGTTCCTGGGGGCTGCCTCAAGGCAGGTGGAGGCTGGGCCGGTGGGCCTCTCCCTCTAGTCAGAGTCCCAGACCCACTCAGAACTGGAACCTGTACTTGGCTTGGTGGGACCAGGAAAGGATTGCCACCAGCCCTGGGCTCAGTGGTAACGTAGGTCCTGGGGGGCCTATCTTGGCTGGGGAACACGGGCAGATCCTGAAGGGCTGATTCAGTTAAAGGCCAGCAGCGGGTTCTGCCTGGGGGTGATGCTTTGGGCAGGGGTTTCCTAGGCATCCCCTGCGGTTTGCACACTGGCCTTTGTCATCGGCAGCCAGATGGAAACATGAAATGCCCATGAGTGTGCTCACCCATGCATCTTGATGCTATAACTTTCTGCAGGTGGGTCCCAGACTCCCCGTGCAAGTGCTGTGCAGTGTTCTGGCCTCCTCGAGGGGCCCAGACATGGAGGGGTGAGGCCCACCCAGAGGCGATCACTACCCGGGCAGGCAGCTGGTGAGGGCAGCTTGGGACAGGAGAGTCAGCCACGGGAGAATTCTGCATTGGCTGTGCCCTAGCCATGCAATGCTTCTCCCTCTCTTCCACCCCCTTCTGATCTGGCAAGTGCCCCCTCCCCCAACAACTCCTAGAGGCACACGTGACTGTGCGGAAGGCCCCAGATTGGGGGGCTGGGGGCTGTAGATACCGGCTTGTCCTTCTGGTCCTTCCCAGGGGCGAACTTAAGCAAAGTAGCAGCTGCCCGCTGCCCAGGGCTCCTCTGGGATGGATGTGGCCAGCCTCAGGAGCTTCCGGCACTTCCGTCCGAGGTGCAGGCCAGAGGAGCTGAACGGGAAGAAGGCCCCTCCACCACTGCCCCCCAGGGAAATAACTCCAGTGGGCCTGGAGGAGCCTGTATGCTGCCTCCCCTCCCCCTGCTAGCCCCCTTCTCCCTCCCACAGTGAACGGCGGCCATGAGGGAGGTGGTGGGCGACCCCACCTGCTCCCGGCCTGCCGGAAGCAGTGCCTGGCATTAACTCATTTTCCTGCTGTCTCTTTGTGTTGCGCGCACCATTCCCCTTCCCCAGCCAGGCAGGCCTGGGCGTCTGGGGCAGCAGCTGCCTGTGACTCAGAGCCCTCCCCTCAGCTGCGGCTGCGCAGCCTGCAGACCTGCACGCCTCGCTGGAAGGCAGAGCAGCAGGAAGGCCCTGAAGGCAAGTGGACGAGCAGGACGGATGAGACGGGAGATCCCCTGAGCTCTTTGTACACTCTCACAGTGTCCAGTAAGGAGCACAGGCAGCCTAGGATAGGCCCTCCCTGCCCACCAGAGCCGATCAATTCCAGGACGAGAGCTGGGCCCTTGGCGCCTGTCCCCGGGCTCGTGTGGATGCTGGGGTTTGGAACTTACCAGGCCTCCTTCCTTGCCTGTTGGGGGTGTGGAGCCCAGCAGAGCCAGGAGTCGTGGCCATCTGATTTGCACTCTGTCAGTTCCAGAACTCGGACCACCCGGGGCTTCGATCCTGGCTGCGTGCTTCACCCAGCGAGGGCAGCTGAACAACAACCCAGACACATGAGAGCACGGAGCCCCTCCTAGGTTTGAAAAAATGAACTCAATATCACGGCTGAAAGAAGGCATTCTCCTTGATTGAATTAAAGTTGTTTTCTTTTTAAGGATTAATTTATTTATGGGTTTGAAAGACAGAGAGAGCGCGTCCATCCTGTGGTTCACTCGTCAAATGGCCACAGCAGCCATCAAGGGTCTGGGCCAGGCCCAAGGCAGGAGTCTGGGGGCAGGACCCCAGGTACTTGGGCCATCCTCCGCTGCTTTCCCAGATGTAATATTAGAGAGCTGGCTTGTAAGCAGAGCAACTGGGACTCAAACTGACATTCCGGGGTCCCAGACAGCAACTTAGCTTGCTGTGCCCTGTGTCAGGATTAAAGTTTGGACCATGAGTTGGGATGGGGAGCCGTGTGGTCATTTGGGAGATAACAGGGAAATTTATGAAGGGAATGGTGTATTAAATGAATCAATGCTGGATTTGGGGTGAGTGATATCCTGGCATCATAGTTGTGTCAGGAAACAGGGAGAAGCATCCAGAAGCATCCTGTGGTCCTAACAGGTGCACACACAGTCTGGGTGTGTGTGGACAGGGTGGTCACCATTGGTGGGCCAGGAGAGGGAGAGGAGTACAGGTGCTCACTTGTGTGTTCTTACTCTTCTGGAATTTTCCAAAGTCCAATACCGGAGTCAAAAAACCCTGAAGGGCCTCTCCTAGCGCGGCTTCGTTTTCACTGCTGACGGCTGCTCAGTCTCTGTGTTTCTGTCCGCGTCAGGCAGCTGGGCCCTTGGCTCCTCTGCCATCCTCCTGGGCCCGCCTGCCCTCTCGAGGCCTGGGGCACAGCTGTGCCTCCTGGAAGCCACAGCCGCACTCCCCTACCCACCCCACCTGCCTCCAGGGTGATCCAGGAGCATGACTCTCCCGTGCTATTCCAAAGCCTGGAACTGGGGAGAAGAGGGCCGGATGGTCATGGCACGTCAGCGTCCTACACTGGCCGAGCAGAACTGAAGCCACAAACCCCTTAGATGGAGAGATTCAAGATGGAAGTGTGGGCGAATTCAGCTGCTTGCTAAGGGCTCACTTCTTGCTAGCTGAAGGCAGTCTTTGTGCTGGGTGCCCACACGTGGGAGCGAGGAGGAAGAGGAAGAGGAGGAGGAAGAGAAGGAAGAGGAGGAGGAAGAGGAGCAGGAGGAGGAGGAGGAGGTGGCGGTCGCGGCAGCAACAGTGGCAGCAGCCGCAGAGGCTGAGGTCCTACCTCCTCTTCCAGGGATACTATTCTCCTCATGAGGACACCACCCTCCTGACCTCACCTGACCCCAGGTGCCTTCCGCTTCCGGATACGGTGATGCCAGAGCCTCAACATACGAATGGGGGACGTCAGGGAAGGGGAGGTGGCAACCCTTTATTTTTTAAAATTTATTTTTATTGGAAAGGCAGATTTGCAGAGGAGAGACAAAGACCTTTCATCAGCTGGTTCAGACCCCACGCGGTCACAGTGGTCAGAGCTGAGCTAAGCCAGAGCCCGGAGCCTCTCCCGAGGCTCCTGTGTGAATACAGGGTCCCAAGGCTTTGGGCCGTCCTCAACTGCTTTCCCAGGTCTCAGGCAGGGAGCAGGATGGGAACTGGAGCAGCTGGGACATGAACTGGAGCCCATATGGTATGGTGGTTCTGGGAAGCGGAGGATTAGCCAATTGAGCCATTGCACTGGGCCCCAGGGCTACAATCCCTGGTCTGGTGACTTGCTGAGGGAAAGATTGGAGCTAATCCAGCTGTCCATTAATTAGGACATTGGATTAATTAGCAAACAGGCATGCTGTAAGTGAGGGGAGAGGTGGAGCCCGCGGTGGGTGCCGCACGCTGCCAGCCATTACATCAGCCGAGGTGCTGTCAGCACACCCTGTGTTTGGTAGTTTTCACGGAGGGCGCCTCTGGGCTTGTGTAAGCTCTGAACTGGTTTTTTTTTTTTTTTGTCTAAGAAAGCAGCTCAGGGACTTTCCCCATGACTCATCTTTGTTCTTTTTATGGAGTCTTCGCTGCACACAGAACAGTTAGTCAGAATTCCTACTTAGCCAGAAGTACCAACTTTTCAAAGGATGAATCTGTGCGTCGGGGCCGGTGCTGTGGTGCAGTGGGCTGAGCAGCCGCCTGCGACATCAGCATCCCGTATGCATCCAAGTCCTGGCAGCTCTACTTCCGATCCAGCTCCCTTGGTAATGCCCCTGGGAAAGCAGCTGAAGATGACCCAACTGCTTGGGTTCCTGCCGCCCTTGTGGGAACTCTGGCTGCTGCTTTGGGCTGGCCATTGTGGCCGTTGGGGCTGGCTCCTCTATTGAGCATTTTCCAGCCAAGCTGACCTGTGAGTCAGACAGCCTGGGCTTGTTCTCATCACAGGCCCCGTTCTGTGAGCTTGTATCCTAGACACCCCCTTATCTCCCAGGGCTGCGTTCCACCCCTCTGTGGACAGCTGAGATCTGCAGGTGGTACTGACCCTAGCAATGCTGTGCTTCCGCCTGTGCCTCCCTGGGGCGTAGTCTGATTTCTATATTAGGCACAGTAAGGGACCAGCTACAATAACTCATATAGGAGGATAATCATATCAATAGCCTGTAATAAAAGTTTTTGAAAACATAGGAATGGCTCATCTCTGGAATTTTCCATTTTGGCACGTTCACACCTCAGGTAACCAGAGCCACAGGTGAGAAAGGGGCTACTGCAGTCATCTTTCCCCATGAGAGGCGCCTTTGGGGATGGCAAGCCCTTGGTGGGTCTCAGACGAGGAAGGATCCCAGCTGGGCAGTGAGCCCTCCCCTGTGGCCGCAGCTGCCTGACCTCCGTCCCTTGGGACCCCTGATGTTCCTCCTGGAGTTTCAGAACCAGCCGCCTGTCCCCTGTTCGTGTGTTTCCATTTAGCCATGGTGAAGTCATGCTGCCTGGGCTTCCTGCAAACACTGAATTTTTAGAAAAGATTTATTTACTTTATTTGAAAGTCAGAGTTGCAGAGAGAGATGGCAAGACAGAGATCTTCCATCTGCTGGTTCACTCCCCAAGTGACCACAACGGCCAGGGCTGAGCTTGTCTGAAGCCAGGAGCCTGGAACTTCCATCCGGGTCTCTCCCCAAGGCCTTGGACCCTCCTCTGCTTCTTCCCTAGGCCATTAACAGCTGGATGGGAAGTGGAGCTGCTGGGACTAGAACCGTCGCCTATAGGGGATGCTGGTGGCACAGGTAGAGAATTAGGCTGTGATGCCACTGCACCGACCCTTGCATCTGATTTGGGCCAGCCCTGGAATGCAGAGACTGAATCCAGCTGGGGTGGGGTGCAGGTGGCAGCGCCCTCTGGGTGGTTTTGTTTGTTTGCCTTCTGAGGTTGAGGTGCTTGTGGTTGTTTTTTTTTTTTTAACCTTTTGATGTCTTCTCAATCCTCGTGGGCACTTGGGGCTTGTCAGGGCAGCCTGGCGGGGCACGGAGGCTGCACTCCTTGCCATCTGGCCACGTGGCCGGTGGATTTGGCTGTCTGGGTCTGCCCTGGCTGTGGTTGGACATAGGATGTGCTGCTCACTAGAACAGTGAAGCAACCCTCCTCCCTCCCTCCGCGGGGCGGGACTGCTTCCCCCAGCTCTGACTCGGCTCTTGGTCCCTGGCTACAAGTGGCCACTGTGGGCTTCTGCGCTTGCATGCTTGCTCCCACTCTCACCCTGATACCCCGTCCCCTGATCCAGAACCGAAGACCTTTCTGATCCCTCCCTGCCCCAGGTCTCCCCCTCCTGTGGAGTGAGCCTCTCTCTTCCCTCCCACCCTAATCCCGCTCTCATCCCGTTCTCATCCTGGCTTTCTGTGCCCACTGCTCTTTTCCCTCCACCTGCTGTTGCTTTTTTTGGTCTGTCTGCCCAAGTGCAAAGCGCTCCAGGTCTTGCTGGCCATTGCTCTGGGCCACACCCTCACCTTGGCTCTGGCCTGCAGCCAGCTTCTGGTCTGCCTCAACCCCCATAGGTGCCCCCTTGGGGGCAGCCCCGCCCCCAGGTGCCTGTCCCATGCTCCTGACCCCCGTGTGCTTTGTGGGCCTGGCCTGCTGCACCCTCCCAGGCATGCTGCTCCTCTCCCCTCCCCGCCGCCGTCCTCCGTCCTGGCGGCATCAGCTGATGGCGCACCGCCCCAGCATGCACCGTGCTAGTTGGCTTTCTTCGCTGCACTTGATCCCCCTGAGGTCATCTTTTATTCTGGTGCACATTGTCTGCTGCTCTGGAATGTGGGCAGCTGAGAAGGGGCCCTGCCTGTGCATCCGACCTCCACGCCTGCGCAGGCTCCTCGGACAAGCCAGGCGTGCAGCAGGCAGGCATGCAGCCGGGACTAAGCAAAGCTGCTGTAGCCATGGAGGACTCAGCGTCAGCACTGGCCCCAAGGCCCCAGCCCTGGCCTGTGTCTCATTTCTCCCCCTGCCCTAGGTCCCACCCCAGTGCCCCACCATCACCTGCCCCGGTAGTAAGTCTCCAGTGGTGATATGAAATAGAGGAAGACAAAGAGGTTTTCCATCCACTGGTTCACCCCACAAATGGACGCAACAAGCCAGAGCTGAGGCAGGCCACAGTTAGGAGCCAGGGACTCCAGCTGGGTCTCCTATGCAGGTGCAGGGCCCAGGGACTTGAGCCATCCTCCGCTGCTTTTCCAGGCCATTAGCCGGCAGCTGGATCAGAAATGGAGCATCCAGGACCCAAACTGGTGCTGCCAGTATGCTGCAGGTGACTGCTTTAACATGCTAAGCAAACACGCCAGCCCCAACCCAAGGTCACAGGGACAACTGTTTCTCATTGGGCAGAAGCCACGTCACATCGTGGTTTTTTTATGTTCTGCCTTTTTATCCCTCTTCAGGCTTCTCCGGAAAGCCGGAGTGGACAGAGAACTCAAGGCAGCCCCACCTGCTTCTCCCCTCTTGCTGGCAGCATCTGGCTACTTGGGGTGCAGTGACACCCTGAGCCTACGCCCCTCACAGTGTGTGTATAGGGGGCTGCCCAGACACAGCCAGGATAGGGGAGCAGCAGTGAACGGCCAAGATCAGTGCTCATGCCGCAGGAGCAGTCTAGATCCCAGCTGGCAGGTCCAGCCCCCTGGGGCCCCAGGTAGTGCCTCTCTGAGCTGGAGGGAACAGCCGAGTGGGGGTCCTGAAGTGGCCCCTCCATTGGCATCACAGAGGGGGTATAGTGTAGGCAGATGGCCACTACAAGAGAAGGGCTGATCCAAGTGGACACGTAGGGTGGGTCTGGAGCTGACTTCCAGGCCCAAAGGCAGTGGCCGCAGGGGACAGCTGCAGGAGGTGGGAGGACCCAGGCTGGCACCAGGCCAGGGCTGCAGGAGCCTCGCTTCATTCTCACCCCATCGTACACATGGATCTGGAGGCGGAAGGGACAAAAAGACAGCTGTGCCCTTCCAGGCACCAAGCAGGGTTCTGACGCCAGCTGGACTTGACCATGGCCCTCCCAGCCCACACTCTCCCTGAATGTGAGCAGTGAGCAGCTGGTGGCTTGATGGAATCCTCCAGAAGGAGTGAGAGTGCAGTCAGACCACTGGGAGGACACCCTCTGCCCTCTCCATCCAAGGACAGGCCAGCTCACTGCATCCGCATCTGTCTTAGATCATCCCAGATTAGCTGGCAGCTTCGGTGCAGTCTCAGCGGGCACCTCGGGCCCACAGCTCCTGCAGTAGACGGATGATGGGCGGACCCACAGACAGCTCCCACCACTCCCTAGCAGGGCAGGCCCCCTGCTTGCACGTGGGCAGTGCCAGGTCCTGCCTGCAGGGTGCCAGTGGTGCTCGGGGAGTGACTTCCAGTTGAGCCCTGCCAAGGCACAGCTACTTTGGGGTCTCCTGGCTGTAGAGGGATCGTGCAGGACACTGCCTGGACTGGCCTCTTGGGTGTGCTGGATCTTAGCCCGGGAACAGCCCGGCTGGCAGCACGCAGCCTGTCCCAGAGGGGTCATGATTGAGGATTTTGTGAACTTGGCTCCATCCAGGTCTTCCACGTGGGTGCGGGGGGCCCAAGCACCCAGGCCATCCTCTGCGACATTCCCAGGCACATCAACAGGGAGCTGGATGGGAAGTGGAGCAGCTGGGATTTTGCCAGCAGTGCCTTCACTTCCTGTGCCCCCACCCACCTTGGCACCCTCAGTTCTCTGCCCTGAGTGTGTCTGTGTCTAGCTGTTCTGTTAGCAGGACAGCAGTCCCTGGAGTGTGGCCACCCTAGTGGCCTCATATTCATAGACTCGCCTGTCTCCAAGTGCAGTTGGGTTCAAGGCTTCAGCACAGGAACGGGGTTGGGGACATAGGTCGGATTAGCACACGCCTGTGTGTGTGTGTGTGGGCATATGCCTGCATGTCCAACCTGTTGTGTTAACACCATGGTTTGCCTCCACTCGCCTGTCAACTCAGCCCTGCGTGGGGTGCATCCTGAGCTGTGTGTGCTCATTGGTGTGCAGCCCACTACACAGCCTCCCCGGGGGGCAGCTCACTCCACGCCAACATGCTGGGTTCTGTCCGGGTTTCCACTGCACACAGGCAAGAAATCCTGTGTCCCAGGGGGCCTTGCCAGGACACAGGGGCACGAGTGGGCGTCTCCTGGACTTGCAGCCCGTGTCCAGGCATGGGCCCAGGGCTACCTGGCTCCCACTGGCTGGGGCCCAGCCTCTCTGTGTCCGCCCTCCCCAGGGGGTGCACATGGGGTTAGGGGGACTTAGGTTTGTCACTCTTGACCCCCATGGGGTTCCCGTGTGGGCCAGGCACCTGCTGCCTGCTCTGGAGGCTGCAGCTGGCTAAGCCTGGTATTCAGGACCCTGCCAATGCGGCTCCCCGCTACACCCCCACTCCCACCGCTGCCTGGCATCCTGCTCACAGCTGAGCTCCTCTGTCTGACCGGAGCTGTTTCTGGCCCATCCCTTGGTCACCGCCCTGGGTCCTTTAACCCATCTGTACAACCTCTTACCCTCCTTCCTCCCTCCACAGCCATTTGGCGGCATTTCTCTGGCCATCTAGCCATGGTTTCTGGGCCACCAAGGCAGAGCTCCGGTTTGTGTCAAGTAGACCCCGAGGGGGCCAGGGCTGGGGTGCAAGCGGAGGCATCGAGTACCTATGGTCCTGGGGGGCCTGCAGGCATGAGGTCCGAGTTCTCCACTTCTGTGAAGGCAGACAGCGCTCTGCTGGGGAGGGTCCCGCTCAGGGGCTGGGGCGCACTTGGCCCAGGTCTCCCTTGGCTCCCGGCCTGCTGGGTTGACAGTGACGTCAGAGCCTCCATCTGGCGGGCACTGCTGCAGGGCATGGTCACTCTGGATCTTAAAGCCCCCTCCCTCCTATTGTGCCTGCATCCACACTTCCTGTCTGCCCCTCACGGCCCTGGCGGCCTGAGGCAGCCCCCACCCAGCAGTTCCTGGAGGCCCACTGTGCTTTTGCTGCATGTTCAGACACCACAAAGCGTCTTTCAGAGGTGACTGTGTGGGCAGCTGCTCACCCTGTCCCTGTCCCCTAGGAGGAGGAGGAGCAGGACTCGGAGAGTGACAAGGGCCTGTCCCCGGAAGGGCCTGAGGATGAGGATGGTGAGTGCTGCTTGGGCTGTGCTGGGGGTGCCAGGGGTGAGGGCTTGAATGATGGAAGAAGGGGTCCCAGGGCACTAGCAGGCTCTACCCACCTCTGATCCCCCAGTTTATGCTGGCTGCCCAGTTGCTCTGCCCTTGAGTTTTGGGTCTTAGTTTACTCCCGGTGATCCCAGGATCTCTCTCTGCCCCTTAGCCCAAGGTGGCTGTCACAGTGCATATGGGGACCTCTGCGTGGGACTAGGGGGAAGGCTTCTGGAAGGGACCCCAGTCCTCAGGGCACACCCCACTCCCATCCCAGGCTCTTCTGCCACCTCTTAACATTGCAGAGTGGGGAAGGAGCCTCACACACGCACACACACACGCCTGTCTGGGGAGCAGCAGCTGCCCGCTGCCCACTGCCCTGCTAACTGATTCGTGTTGCCCACGTGGTCTGTGAGCCGAAAGGAAGTTCCCTCCCCCACTCCCCAAGGACTCGCACGCAGAGCCTGGATCCTGGCCTGCCAGACCCGGATGTGGCTGGGTACATGCCCGGCTGTGTCGCCTGTGACTCGTGGTGTCCACTGTGTCCAACTCGGGCGCCACAGGGGCAGACAGGCCTACCCACAGACCAACATCTAGACACATCCAGACGCGCCCCTGCGGGATGGCGCTGCGGCTCGCTGTCTGTTTCCTTTGGCAAGCTGGGCAGGATGAGCTTTTGCTCCAAACAGACTTGTCTCTTTAAACAAAATGTGCATTTATTGCTTTGAGCGACAGCCAGCTCCCATGTCCTGGCGCATTACGCCCCACATGCCCACAGCAGCCAGTGTGGGCCCAGCCCAAGTCAGGAACCAGTGACCCTGTCCAGGACCCTGGAGCGTTGCAGGAACCCCCATCGCTGCTGCCTCCCAGCAGGCTGAGCTTCAGAGTTGGGGCCAGCATTGGGGTGCAGTGGGTTAAGCAAGCACCTCAGTGTTCCACATCAGAGCGCCGGTTCAAGGCCTGGCTGTTCCACTTCCAAAGGCAGCAGACAATGGCCCAAGCGCCAGATGTCTGAGTCCCAGGCACAGTCGTGGGACAACAGCTGGACAAGGAGGCATATCCTGAAGGGCTGACGGGTTCTCACTCCATCCTTTAGTCCGTGGTAATTAGGATGGGCCGGCCAGCATCAGCGTACCAGTCCCCACTACCTGACACCTGCTTACCTGAGCGTCCAGCCCCTGTATACACTGGGTGCTCACAGGCCCGGCTGTCCTCTGGCCAGCACCCCGTGTGACCCTCACCCAGCCTCAAGGATGCTGGCAGCTGTGGGGTCTGTGCTCAGGGGCTGGCACACTCAGCAACATTATTCCTACACACTGTAGACCCTGCAACAAATCACGTTGCTGGCTCATCCCAACGTGGACCCCCGTCCCTGTTGAGGTTTCTAATAGCCTGGGAGCATGTGGGGGCAGAGGTGGCCACGTAGTGTCTCTGGCACCTCAGCCTTCCCAGCAGTTGCTGCAAAACCAACACAGGATGCCCCTGCCGGAGGGGGCAGGTAGGTGGTGAAATGTGTGCAGTGATCCTGGGTGTAGGGGAGACGGGGTGGCCGAGTTGCAGATGGTGTGCGTGGGGGGACCGGCTGCCCCTTGGGACAGGCGCTGAGTTAGGGGGCTGGGTAGCGGTGGCCAGCGGCTCAGTGGGCTTTCTCTCTGCAGGAGACACCTTCTCCTTTAAATACAGCCCTGGGAAGCTGAGGGGAAACCAGTACAAGAAGATGATGACCAGGGAGGAGCTGGAAGAGGAGCAGAGGTAGGTGGCCCACCCCGAGCCCCCCACTCCCCCGCCGAGCCCCCGACGCCCCCGCCGCCAACTTCTGGGATTCCAGGGTGTTTCCTGCCTGGTGACAGTCTAGCTGGATGAGGCAGCTGGGGACAGGAGGGGAAGGCCAAGATGGTCGTTTCTGTTTGTTTGTTTGTTTGTTTTCTGTCCTCCCCCATCCCCCAAAAAGAGACATCAGGAAAGAATCACAAGCAGTGGGACTTTGCTCATTTACGGTGGAGGGGGGAGCTACAGCAGGGATCTGTGGGGCTCATCCCCACACCCCCCTGTTCAGGCCCGCCACTCTGGCACTCTGGGCCAAGGCCAGCTGCCAGCTTCTAGAACTTTCTAGAATTTTCTAGACCTGGGGCCTCCTTTGGGCCTCTATAATGACCCTGCCCAGAGACTTCCAGGCCTCCTGTTTCTGGAGCTGGCAGCGGCCCTTCCCTCACTGCTGGGGGCCCGGGGCCTAGGGCGGCCTGGCTGTGGTGTGACCCGGGATGCTGCTTTATATTTCAGGATTGAGCTGACCTCTGACCTCACTTCCCTGTAGCAAGTCCCCTAAGTCCTGAGCCACAAAATTTCTTGCAGATCCTTTTGGTAAGGAGACGGATTCCTCTGGCCTGCGTGCCCGTGTGTCCCTAATGCGACCGCCCTGGCCCAAGCCCCTTACATACACACCTGCCCTCCTGTGCCCACCCGTTCTTCTCAAGCACCTGGAGTTGCTGGCAGGAAGGGGGGACTTCCCCAGGGCTGGAGACTTCCAGAGCCCCTGGTGGGTGTGGGCTGTTGTCCTGGGCTCTGGGGGCCACCAGTGACCTTGTCCTGATCTGAGCCTGAGGCCAGTGGGGCAGGCACCCGGGAGCAGCAAGGTTGCTCAGTGGTGGGGGCTGGCTAGTTAGCTACACCCACTCTTTGGGACATTTCAGCGGGCACCCTGACCCACTGTCCCTGACCCTCTGCAGCACACGCCCGCGGCCCTGGACGAGGGGCAGAGATGGCTCACAGGTGTGGCCGGCCAGGCCTCAGGAGCTGGGGCACACCGCTGGTCCCCCAGAGCTCAGCCTTCCACCCGGGATAGTCGTAGGATGGAAGCCAAGGCGGCCTGTTTCTGGGGTGGGAGGGAGGAGCCCTGACTCCTGAGACTGGAGGTCAGGTTCGCGTCCATCATTGCCCGTCCCTTCCACGCCCCTCCCCAGCATGTGGCCACCCCCTCCTGCCTGCCCACTGTATTGCCCGTTCCCTGCCCTGCATGTGGTCAGCCCTGGTATCTACAGGCCCTTGGCGGCCAGCGCTGCCCCTCCTGTGGGAATGCTTGGGTTTGCCAGGGGCCGCTGGTCTGGTTTTGCCTTCGGTGCTTTTTATGTTAGCTGAAAGTCAGAGTCCCAGAGAGAGGAGAGACAGAGAGAAAGATCTTCATCCTCTGGTTCACTCCCCCAATGGCTGCAACGGCCGGAGCTGAGCCAGTCAGGAGCCCGGAGCTTCTTCCAGGTCCCCCACGTGGAGGCAGGGGCCCAAGCTAGCTGGTGACGGAGTGGAGCAGCCAGACTCAGACCAGCAGCCATGTAGCACGCTGGACTGCAGTCGGGTTTAACGTGCTGCACCGTGGCTCTGGTCCCTGGCTTTGCCTTCTCATTTCCAACATCACAGCTTCCCGGGGACTGGGAGAGCACATCCCAGCTCTGCCCGGAGGGCTGCCCAAGCCAGGACAAGCACGGCAGCACGCATGCTGGTCTGTGCCTGCCCAGTTCCCCCTGGCTGAAGGCTGGGCCTGTTTTTCTGATTCTTCTGGCACTCGGGTACATGACAAGGTAGTTAACATGGCAGTGCATCCTGACTTTATTCATTGCTCTTTTTTTAAAGATTTATTAATTTATGTGAAAAGCAGAGTGACAGAGGGGAGGATGGAAAGAGAAAGAGAGAGATCTTCCAATCTAGTGGTTCCTTCCACAATAACAGCTGGAACCGGACCAAGCTGAGGCCAGGAGCCAGGAGTTTCAACGGCATCTCCCACTTGGGAGCGGGGCCCAAGCACTCGGGCCATCCTCCGCTGCTTTTCCAGGCTCATTTGCAGGAAGTTAGTAAGAAGTGGAGCAGCTGGGATGCAGTAATGCCCCTCCATATGAGACACTAGCATTGCAGCTGGTAGCTTTACCCTCTGTGCTACAGTGCCAGCTCCACCTCTGCCTCCTGGAGCTTTCCCTCCACCAATCCGCTTGTGTCTGAAGCCCAAGTTCTGTGTGGCTGTCAGTCCCAGCATTCCCCAGAGGCCTCGGCTCAAGGGACCAGAGACAGGAGGTCCCGGCGGAGCTGGCATGCTAACCCCGGGCAGTGCCAGCCCTGAGCCTTGAGCAACGCTGCTTCGGACCCCTTGTGTCTGCCCCCATCTCACCCCACCGCAGCAGTTTGCCTGTGCCACCCCGTCCCCCAGTGCCCGTGCAGCCTGCAGGGCTCGGCTGGCCCTGCAGCTTGGCTGAGGCCGAGTGTGGCTTTTGGCTGTTCCCTAGCAGTCTACCCACACATGGGACTCACACTGCAGGCGAGGCCGGCACTGACAGGTCTGAGGCGAGCCTGCCGAGTCCGGCGGTCTGCAGGGCTTTTCCAGAGGAACATGTTTTGCCTTCCGGGTTGAGGCGCAGGACCCCCAGCCCTGGAACTCGCCCGAAGGAATTAAAAAGGCTCTGCTGGAAATGCACATCGACTCCAACTCCAGAAGAGGGCGCCAGAGGGACAAAATCAGATCCCTGCACCTGCTGTGAGCGCAGGCTGGCCAGTCCTGCTCCTGCAGTGATGGGACAGAGGGGACAAAACAGCCCAGCTGTGGGGATGGTAGATGCTCTAGGATGCGAGGCAAAGCATGAGCCCCTCCACCCAGCTGGAGATGAGCTGCTGAAGCAGCACCCCTGACTGCTGGCAAGGCAGAGCGTGTGGGCGGGCAGCGGGTGGTACAGCACCAGGCCTGAGCAGGGAGTGCTCTGACAGAGACCCCAGTCCCAAGGAGTGTGCTGCCTGGCATGGAGCCAGTGTCCAGTGTGGTTTCTGCAATTCCAAGCATTCCCCTCCTCCCCCCGCTGCCCCCTTTCCTCTGTGGCATCATCAAGTGGAATGAATGAGATATATGATCTTTCTCTCTCCCTGTTTCTCTTTACAGAACTGAAGCATAATGAAGTTCCCCTTAGCCTCCTCCTACAGGCACCTTAGGAGCCTGAGAGATAAATCAGGAACCCCAGCAAGGAGCCCTTCAAAGCTCCCCCTAATCTGCTGGTGCCGACCCTGTCAGGAAGGCCCCGACCAGCAGGAGTCTGGGGACCCCCTTGGCTCTGCCCCCACAGGGTTCTGTCCCCATCTAGGCCAAAGGGTCATGAGAGTCTGAGTTCAGATCGGGGCCTTGAGTTTCTTTTCGCACTTGGCCTTGCTTGGCCCACCCCCTCCACAGCCGTGATGCCAGGCCTCCTCCTCTGGCCCTCCCTGAGGCCCGAGCGTGGCAGATCCACGTGGTGTGGGTTGGGAGGCTCACCACCAGCTCCGTGCAGGGATGCCTGGCCCGGCCTCCTCCCTCTGGCTGCTCCTCCCTGGGGCCTGCTGCGTAGCCAAGGCTTGGTGCCGGGGTGCGACCTCACCATCACCCTTGCCCTTTTCCCAGGGAGGCTAGCACCAGGCCTCCGGCAGCTTGGCAGCTTTGTCCACGGTGGCTCTGCCGTGCTTGCCAACTGGCGCAGCTGCTTTTGGCTGAAGCAATAATAGCAGGGCTCGCCCTGCTCTGGGCGCTGCCTTTGGCAGGTGCTACTGGTGGGGGGAAATTTTACAGATCCAAAGTCGCCAGATTACAAGTCAACAGCAGGTCCATTTCTCAGATTTTTGTACTTGACACTATTTATATTCTACCCAGCAAATTTACAACTCTTAGATGTGTTGTTGAAAACCTTCTTCTTCTTTTTAAAGTAGTGGATTTGTAGAAAACATTTTCCATGTAAAGTAGGGCAGCCGCTAGGGTGCCTGCCTTGCCAGGGCCATGGGCTTCTCCTCAGAGCCCCATAGGCCACTGAACACAGCAGCCAGCCAGGTGGCTGATGCCTTGGATACAGAGCCGTGCTGACAGATAGCAGGTACCATCGCGGGTCCCCAGGAAGCAGTGGCAGTGTCCCATCAGGACTAGGGGGGCGTCTTTTGGCCACAGGAAGTCGCGACTGTCCCACACGTGGCCGTGGAGGCATGCGTGCAGAATCCTGAGGCGTGGCTTGCGGGCCACATTGCAGGCCCGTTCTCCTGGCGGGCCCCTGTGTTTAGCCTCTGTGCAGTCCAATAAATTTTGAGTAGATGATCTTGGTTGCTGTGTGTTTTTTCAGTCGGCTATGTTGACTAAGAGGAAAAGCAGAACTCTTGGTCTGCTGGAATTTGAGGCCTCTTTCGTTTTGATGCCCGTGACCTAGAGAGGGCAAAGGCGCGTGTTCCCCCCCCCGCCCCGGCAGGAATCCGCAACCATCACAGCCACTAGAGCCACGCTGGGTCACTCGTGCACACTCGGGAACACGCATGCCAGGCTGTGGCTCTCCCACGTAGCTCAGGCCCTGGTCCCTGGCACGACACACGCAGGGTACCAGGGACAGATGGATGGGAGGGATGGCCGCTGACATCACGTTCCTGGGGTGACACGGGAAGCGGGGATTTGGTCCTGTCTGCCTGCTGGGGCGTCGGAGCGGGTAGGGCTGCTACAGGAAGAAGGGGCTGGGATCTCTAGAAGTTCCTGATAAGTGGAAAAAATGTGTAAAATTCATGCATCTAAGAGACCCTTCCAAAACACCCCTAGAAACAGCCATGCATGGATTTCAAAATCTTTTTCCACTAAAATTTATCCTGTTCGAAGAGAGGTTTTCCGTCTTTGGGTTCACTCTCCTAGCCAGGCTCAGGGGCCCAGCCTGTGGTGCGATGTGGAGGGCGGGAACTGGCAGAAGGAAGGAGGAAAAGGGAGATGCCGGCTGGATGTGGTCGAAGGTCACCAGGATGGGCCTGGGGCACCCCGTCTGCTCTGTGCTTGAAGGCAACCGCCCTGAGCCCAGTCAGCCACGCCTGTTCCCTGCGCCACATGGCATCAGTGCGCACCTGAGGAAGGGGCCCCCTCCAGGCAGCGACACCTGCCCCTGCCCCAAGGCCAATCACCTCCCTGTCCCAAGCACCCCAATTTCCCAGCCAGTGGTGTTTCTTCCTCCACTTCTGACTCATCTGTCTGTACTCAAGTTCTTTTAAAATGTCCCTTTCCCCATCCTCTTATTTTTGTAAGGTTTCTTTTTTCTTTTCCTTTGTATTTGAAAGGCAGTGTTTACGGGCCAGGGGTGGGGGAGAATCTTCAACGATTCATTCCCTAAATGGCCGCAACAGCCAGACCAAAGCCAGGAGCTTCTTCTGGGTGTCCCATGTGGGTGCAGGATCCTGAGGCTTTGGGCCATCCTCTGCCACTGTGCATCAGCAGGAAGTGGAGCTGCCAGGAGACTCAAACTGGTGCCCATGTGGGATGCTGGCATGACAGGCAGTGATTATAACCACTATGCTGCAACACTGACCCCTGCATCTAACTTTGTTCAGAAGTTTTCGAGCCCCTGCTTGGAACGTACACTCCTTGTTGCCTGACTGCAACGTGTGCCGTTAGCCATGAAACCAGGCCCAATAAAATGGGGAAATTGAGGCATGTTACTCCCATGGGGAGTCTGGAGTTCCCAGGTTTCCTTGTCAGGGTGCAACTCAGACACCCCTGAGTGTTCAGACACATGGTTGGGGTGAGTCTGGCTGTAGTGGCTCCTGCGACTGCAGAGGCTCTGCCTGGCTCATGTCTCTCCTGCTAAATGAGTGTCCTGGGAACGGTCCATCGAGGCGCCTGCCTCCTGGCTCCCGGCTGCCCGCTGCCCGCTGCCCAGCTCGCGAGCTACCAGCTGGGGGCATCTTTCTCCTCTTGTGTTTTCTTGCCGACAGAGTTCAGAAGGAGCAGCTGGCCGCCATCTTCAAGCTCATGGAGGACAACAAGGAGACGTTTGGGGAGATGTCGGACGGTGACGTGCAGGAGCAGCTGCGGCTGTACGACATGTAACGCCCCCCCCGGCCCTGGGACCGCCCAGACTGCTGTCCCCACCTGCTCCCGGCCGCCCGCTCTGCACACTTCAATAGGCTTCACGTGTCTTATAAATGTAGATGTAGACTGCGTCCCATGCAGAGTTGCGCGCTTCTTGCCATTTGCCTGTCATTTATGACACAGCTTCTGGCAGTTGGTGAGGCCCGGCAGTTACAGAGGGAATGCCACTGAGGCCGTGGTATCATCTTTAAGATTTCCTCGTTTGCTTGAAAGATGGGGCCACAGAGAGAGGAGAGAGAGATCTTCCACCTGCTGGTTCACTCCCCAGAAGACGGCAGTGGCCAGGGCTGGTGCAGGCTGGAGCCAGGAGCCAGAAGCTCCATCCTGGTCTCCCTATGGCAGATGGGACTTCCTCGTTTGTGACTGCGGCCTGGTCCAGCCTTGGCTGCTGCAAGCGTTTGGGAAGTGAACCAGGGGATAGGCGTCCCCTCTCTGTCTGTCAAATAAAAGGGCTGTGTGTGGAGACAGAGCACCTCAGCAGAAAGGCCTTGGCGGAACGCCCTTACAATAAGCAGAGTGCCCGGGACGCCGGGCGCTGCCCAGCCCTTGTGAGTGGGTGGGTGGACGCCAGCGAAGAGGAGGAAGAGGGGGAGGAGGATGGTTGGAAAAACTCTGGTTCTCCAGAGGGAGCCTGTATTTTCCATTTGCTGAAATAAAACTAAGTCACACTCCATTCGAAGAGTGAGTGGCATTTCCCAGGGCTCCAGTCCTTCCTCACACAGCAGGGAGCTGAGTGTCCCTGGCTCCTTGCTTGCTACCAAGTGTCAGGCAGTGTTTGCTCCTGGCTATTGTGGGAGTCCTCCTGCTGTGCGCCTGTCATTCTCCCTGGGCCTGTTATTGTATCCTCGTGACAGTGCTTTTAAGGTTGTGCATTTACGTAAAAAGAGAGAATCTTCCACTAGCTGCTTCACGTCCCACAGTGGCTGGGCCTGGGCCAGGCACTACGCCCTGGTCTCGCGTGTAGGGGACAAGAACCCAGCGCTGCGGCTGCGTCCCAGGATGTGCAACGGCACCCGGACCCAGTGCCAGGCATTCCGCTGTGAGATGGCATCCCAGGCTCAGCCAGCTGTGTCGTAACACCCCACCCCTGTTTGCAAGTTAATTTTATCTTCTTGGGAATGCTAGTATTGTAGTGTATTGGATAAACCTGGCATCCCTTACGGGTGCTTGTTCAAGTCCCGGCTGCCTGGTTTCTGATCCAGATTCCTGCTTAGGATCCCTGCTTGGGAAAGCGGCAACGGATGGCCCAGATGCATAGGCCCCTATACCCACATGGGAGATGCAAAGAAGCTCCTGGCTCCTGGCTTCCTGCTGGCCCAGCTCCAGCTCTTGTAGCCATTTGAATCAGCACACAGGCCATCTCTTGCTATCTCTCTCTCTGTCTCTCCTTCTCTCTTGCTGTAACTCCGCCTTTCAAATTAATTAATAAATCTAAAAAACTATCAGTAACTTAATTTTTAAAAAGAATTTCTCATTCTCTTTTCTAGACCTCAGGCTTCCCATGTACATCATTTACTTATTTCTTCTTTTTTAAACGACCTATTTGTTTTTTATTTAATTTATTTATTGGAAAGACAGATATACAGAGAGAAGCCAATACATAGAGAAAGATCTTCTGTCTGCTGGTTCCCACTCCCCAAGTGGCTGCACAGCTGGAGCTGAGCTGATCTGAAGCCAGGACCCAGGAGTTTCTTCCTGGTCTCCCACGCAGGTGTGGGGCCCCAAGGCTTTGGCCGTGCTCGACTGCCATCCCAGGGCACAAGCAGGGAGCTGGACAGGAAGTGGGATCCCAGCACTTACAGGAGCAGCATTAGCCAATTGAGCCATTGTGCTGGGCCCATCGTCGTTTATTTATTTCAAAGGCAGAGCAACAGAGAGAAAACAGGGAGAGGTCTTCCATCTGCTGGTTCACTCCTCAAATGAATGTAACAGCCAGGACTCGGCCAGGCAGTGCCAGGAGCTCCCTCCTGGGTCTTACGTGGCTGGCACCTGCAGCATTCACACAGAGCTGGATTGGGATGTGGGCATCAGAAGGTAGCTTAACGCACTGTGCCAACACATCCACTTATTTGTGTTTTTACTTTTATTTATTTATTTGAGGCACACAAGGAAACACACAGAGTGCCCATCCACTGGCCCACTCTCCCAATGCCCACCACACACTGCTCTGGCCATGCCAGGCTGAAACTTGGGAACCAGAACACCATGCAGGTCTCCCACACGGGTGGCAGGAACTGCTCCAGGCTCTATCCCCTGCTTTCTGTCAGTGGGAGGCAGGCATGGGAAGCAGCTGCCCGGGCGCCCCCTCGCCCACAGCAGCACCCCTCACCCACGGTCACACTGGCCATCTTCCTCCAGGGCCCGTGCTGCTCTCACGCCCGGATGCTCCATCCTCCATACCGCGGCAGGTGCTTTGGGTGACCTGTATCGGATAAGAAGTCTCCTCTGCAGAGAACTGGAAGCTCAGCTGCCCACGAGAGGAGAGTGACCCCCACGGAGGCCTGGGGGGGCGGGGTGTTAGTGCTGGGAGCAGTGGGCCAGCCCCAGAAGGGCCAAGAGTTAGGGTGCGAGCTTGCGAACCCAGTCACCCCCTGCCTGTGCACCCTTCTTGCAGACTGGCTCTCCTGGCAGCCGTGGGCATTCAGCCATCACATGGGCAGCAGGCATGTGGCCATCTCTGGTTTGAGTCTCCACGAGCAAGGGATCTGGTCCAGCGGCCTCGTCCCTGCGTTCTGCGAGTACCAATTGGCCAGCATTGGTCATGTGTCCATGTCGCAATCAATCACGGGCAAGGAGACCTAACCACTGTGGCTGGCCAGGGTGCCTGGAGCCTCAGGTGGAAGCCCTGGACACACCCCTAGGACTGTGGCCACCGGAGGCAGGGTGACTAAGCCTCACCAGGGGTGGGCACGGGGCATGGGTGTTGGGTGGACACAGCTGCAGTGCCTGGGTTTCTCACGAGGACTGGCAGGCCCTGGGAAGCCAGCTCCTGACGTGCCCAGCATGCTGCCCACCCACAGATGTCTCTCGGAGCCCCTGTTGGCTCGCTGTGACGGGCCCGGGAGGAGGGGCTCCGATGTCAGCTCCCGTCAGCAACGCTCCCTTGTGGGGCTGCAGTTCAGGGCACTGAACCAATAGCTTCCGCTCTGAGCCAAGGCCTCCCCAAGATATCCCGAGCCCCTGGTAGCCAACAGAGCCCTCTGCAAACTAAACCCACTTCAAACCGACCTGCGGAGGGAATCGGGATGGGGGTGGGCACTCCAGACGGCAATGGGCCAGGAAAACCCACAGGTTCAGTTCATCCCCCGCCCTGCGTGTTGCACCTCCAGATTCGGAGCTTACTCTGAAACAGGGCGTGGTGGCCAGAACATGCCAGGTGAAACGAGGAAGACAATACCATCCAACCTCTGAACATCAGGAGGGCAGGGGGCAGGAAGGAGGTTGGGAGGGAGAGAGCAGACACACAGGGAAGCCATACTGAGACAGGCCTGGGCTGTCCCTGCCACGTGGCCTGGAACCTTGGCACCAGCAGAAACTGTTCCCGCCTGACCTCTCCTGAGAGGCTGAGCAATACCCAGGGTGTCCAGCGAGCAGCGCGGATGGGCTTAAAGCCGGGGTCTCTTGCCCTGCCCTCTCACCACCGCTGGGCTCTGGACCCCTCTCGTCCCGGCCCAAACGACACACACACAGCAGCAGTGTGTCACTCTCCCCCAGGCCGGACCTGGGCCTGCCCACAGACGGCATGTGTGTCAGCCTTCCAGCTCCTGCTGCCTGGACACCGGCTCAGGCCCTGCTTCTTATCAGGTTCCTATCCAACACTCACAAACGGGGCTGCTGGGATTAGAACCGGCGCTCATATGGGATCCCGGCATGCTCAAGGCGAGGACTTTAGCCACTAGGCCACCGTGCCGGACCCAAATAAACACATTTTTAAAAAGGAAAGAAAGTAAAAGAAAAGGAGGGGGAGAGCCTGGCGAGACTTCCACCCCGGGCCTGGTGAGGTCCGAGTGGCTGCCCGATGCTACAAGGCTCTTTGCAGAGGGGCAGGGACCCAGGAACCTGCAGCTCAGGCCTCACCGTCATGGCACCTCAAGGCCCAGCCAAGGGTGGCCCTCAGCCAGAGCCAGGCCCCCAGTCCCATTGGCCACTGTCACCCTTCCTTTGCTTTCATTCCGTTTTCGTCTTTGGATTTTTCACCACCAGATCTGACCCTCCTCAAAAACGACTGTCATCCTTCTCATTTAAACATTTTTTTCTGGGCCCAGCGCAATAGCCTAGTGGTTAAATCTTTACCTAGCATGCACTGGGATCCCATATGGGCACTGGTTCGTATCCCAGCTGCTCCACTTCCCATCCAGCTCCCTGCTTGTGGCGTGGGAAAGCAGTCGAGGACGGCCCAAAGCCCTGGAACCCTGCACCCACGTGGGAGACCTGGAAGAGGCTCCTGGCTTCACATTGGCTCAGCTCCAGCCATTACAGTCACTTGGGAAGTGAAGCAGCAAATGGAAGACCTTTCTGTTTCTCCTTTTCTCTGTAAATCTGCCTTTCCAATAAACATGAAAATAAAGCTTTTTTAAAAAAAATTCTGAGAGGTAGAGAGGGCCCCCATGACAGGTCCACTCACCAAATCCCTCTGCGTTGGGGCTGGGAACCCAAGCCAGGTGTCCCACATGAGTGGCGGGAACCCAGTGGCTGGATCCGCCACCTGTTGCCTCCCAGGGTTGGCTTTGGCGGGAAATTGGGGTCAGGAGCTGGACTGGTAGCCCAAAGTGGACGTGGGCATCTCAAGTGCCTAAATGTCCTATAGCTAAATTCAAATAAAGCTCCTGTGTGGGAGTTTGACCTGCAGGATGGAGTAGTGCAAGTCAAAAGCACTGCCCGGAGCCTTGGTTCAGCGGCCTAAACCTCTGCCTGCAGCGCCAGCATCCCGTAAAGCCGTGGGTTCGAGTCCCTCCCGC